GTCAATGATGTTGTAATGATAAAGTGACTGCAGTCACTATAGGTGACTGTAGTCAAGTTGGTAATTGTATTTTATAGAGGCAATTCATTAGCTTTTTCTTTTTGCTACTAAATATTTGTATTTATGCTAAAATACAAGTGCTGATGTAGATGAGAAAGCAGTATTTAAGATTCCACATTACTTTAACACTACAGCATGAACTCCAGAGACATTAGTAAGGCAAACATCTTGAGGACCATTGCTAGACTTCTTTGTGCACTGAGGAACAGGCTGGTGGTGATCCAGACCTTGTCAAACTCTGTCCACGGCCTAAAGAATAGTTTTAAAGTAGATCTCAGGAGTTGATCTTCTCTTGGATTTGTAAGAGGAGGGTTTATGGTTGTTTGAATCCTAAATTCTAAATCCACACAAAAATTGATGTGAATATCCCTTGAGCTAATCAACTGGCTATAACTCCCAAGAGAAGGATAGAGATCCAAATTTACATTTGTTCAATTTGAATATTCCTCCTTTTCTTTCGTAATGTGTGATTCTAGCAGAAAGACCATATGTCACTTTAACATTTTTTCTTACACAATAATTGAAAGAGTTTTTTCTAAAGTAATTTTGGCATTCGGGCAGATAGTATGTACTTCATAAATATTTGTTGAATGAATTAGTGAATCCCAAACACGTTGATAAAATTCTGTGATTATTGGAATTTTGTTTGTAGGTTTATAATATGTAACTCACTTTCTTGTTCCTAGTTTACATTTCTCTAGCAATGCATTATTTCTCCTTAGGCCCTCAAACTTTTCTTCTTTATAGGCATAGGCTGTAGATACAGAAACTTTCTTCCTCTGTTAGTGTAGCTCTGATATTTATTCCTATTTATATCCTAAAATTCTGATATCTGTTTTACTTATTAGCTCTTTATTGCCTTTCTCCCTAAAGGATATTTCTTGTTTCTTCTTGTTTTAGTCATACCTTAGTGGAGTGAATAGTCACTTTTAGAAGCTGTAAATTTACTATTTTCCCAAAAATGCTAGTGTAATAGGACATTTTAATTATGAATGGGCTATAAACTTCTTTTGTATGTATCATTCTTAGTAATGAGTTTTGAATATTATGTATTTTGATACTTTTTGAGGAGATTGAATTGGGTGACTAATACATTTATATTATATACGTACTATATAATTTTGATAATTTTTAAATCCAGCTAACTTTGCAAACTTGGTTTGGAGATCTTATTAATCACTAACGTATACAGTTATATAGATAAGTAGATGTTAAGTTCATTAGATACTTATTTAATTGTTGGTTAACTGTGTCTAATAGGAACAAGAGTTTGTTCAGAAGCAGCAACAAGAATTAGATGGCTCTCTGAAAAAGATCATCCAACAACAGAAGGCAGAGTTGGCCAATATTGAGAGAGAGTGCCTGAATAACAAACAACAGCTCATGAGAGGTATATTAAATTCTGCAGCATGAATGCGTATATGAAGTGAGATCTCAAAAATATTGCAGAGATATACCTTGGAAATTATTTGAATGCTTTTCTTTGCTGGAGTGGTAAAGGCAAAGATAAAGAAAGTTGTGGTAAATAAGAGAAGAGAGTCTTTTAAAGTTTAGCAAAATATAGAATTCCTTTATGACATGGACATATAATCCGTAAAATTTCTCTTGTCCAGATGGTGCTAGAAATATATCTCATTGATTTTGTGTATTCATTATACCTTATGATTGTTGGTATACTTAATGGCTACATGACAGAATGGGATTTTAAGTACTTATTACCCCTAAAAAATTAGCTTAGATTTGTTTTTCCTTTGTTATTATGACTAAATGGAATTTTGATTCAAGGGTAGGACATTCTCTGTTTATAGGGCATTAGAACAAAATAGAAAGAGGAATGGATATAATCTTTATGTTGGTAAAATTTTACTTATAGCTGAGAATGTCAATATATGTGTATAAGTTAGTGTATATAGAACACTTATGTAATATTAAAATGAAGAGCAAAGTACATCAGTAAAGAGAGCAAAGTGACATTTTGAAAACTGCTGTCTTCTAGCTCGAGAAGCTGCAATTTGGGAGCTTGAAGAACGACACTTACAAGAAAAACACCAACTGCTCAAACAGCAACTTAAAGATCAATATTTCATGCAAAGACATCAGCTGCTTAAGCGCCATGAGAAGGTTAGTGAAAAGAAAATTTCTTTTTTATTCATTTTAAAGTTGTAAACCTGTTTAGTTTTGAAGCTTCTTTTCTTTGTCTTTTTTTTTTTTTTTTTAGACAGAGTCTTACTTTGTTGTCTAGGCTAGAGTGAGTGTCATGGCGTCAGCCTAGCTCACAGCAACCTCAAACTCCTGGGCTCAAGCAATCCTCCTGCATTAGCCTCCCAAGTAGCTGGGACCACAGACATGCGCCACCATGTCCGGCTAATTTTTTGTATATATATTTTTAGTTGGTCAATTAATTTCTTTCTATTTATAGTAGAGACGGGGTCTTGCTCTTACTCAGGCTGGTTTCGAACTCCTGACCTCAAGCAATCTGCCCGCCTTGGCCTCCCAGAGTGCTAGGATTACAGGCGTGAGCCACAGCGCCCGGCCCGAAGCTTATTTTCTTAAAGAATGAATTTTAGATTTCCTTTATTTTATCCTAAAATTTCTTTGATGAAGCTTGGAGTAATTAATTGTATCTTGATGGTGATTGCAAACTTCTACAAATTACAAGGAAGGTAACTAATTACAGTGCTTAAAGACCTCTTACATATGTGGTTCAAGTATCTTAAAATTTTGGACTTCCTGTACTTAGTAAAACAGAGTTTCATTGTAAGACTCTTATCACTAGTAACTTTATTTTCTTATAAATTATTTTTTGTCTGATATTTTTCTGGTCACTATGCAACAAGGGAGAGAGTAATTATGGGAAACAACAATAAAATGACATGTTTGAATATACATGTGAGTAATGAGTATTAAATTATATCTATTAATACATCACTGGATTCTGTTTAAAATTTTCTTAGGAAACAGAACAAATGCAGCGTTACAATCAACGACTTATTGAGGAATTGAAAAACAGACAGACTCAAGAAAGAGCAAGATTACCCAAGATTCAACGTAGTGAAGCTAAGACTCGAATGGCTATGTTTAAGAAAAGTTTGAGAATTAACTCAACAGCTACACCAGATCAGGACCGTGACAAAATTAAACAGGTAAGTGTACAAATTATTCTCTTTAGGTTTATAAAATCCACATGATTTTTAGAAGTGCCACATAATTATGTTATAAACATTTAGAGCCACTTTGGGTTTGTTGATTTTCACTTTAAATCTGTGGGCTGGGGCTAAATAAATGACATGTACCAACTTAGTCTTCCCAGGGTGGTGGTAACAGAGGGCAAAGCCCTTCCTCCTATGCTTCACATCAGATCCTTGGCTAGACTGGTCCTAAGACCAGCACTGGGAATAAGATGACTTGGACAACTTTTTAAGTCAAAATATATGGCCTCACTGTGATACTTCTATAGTCATAGTCACACACACAAATTAACCCAGAACGCTAAGCAGATAAGAGGATCGAGGTTTTCATCAGCAGTTCTCTCCTCTCCCCATGATGGAGACTCCAGGTTTGAGACACAGCATATTATTATTTGTAGCTTTAGTTTATTTTACTTTGTTTTGTTAAATTCTTTTATATCTTCAGAATATGTAGAAATTACATTGCCTGTTAACCACAAGTTATCTTTTTGTTTTTTCTTGTTTCTAGTTTGCTGCACAAGAAGAAAAGAGGCAGAAAAATGAGAGAATGGCTCAGCATCAGAAACATGAAAATCAAATGCGGGATCTTCAGTTGCAGTGTGAAGCCAATGTTCGAGAACTGCATCAGCTGCAGGTTAGATACAGGAGCATGATAACCACACTTGTAGTACATGGGCGCAACACAAGTAGCTGGTTTTGAGAAAATAGTAGCCAAAACAAATGGCTGCATATTACTTATGAAAATACTAGGATTTAAGGTGGTGTTTTTTGTGTAGCTCCACATGAAGATCTGTTTAGTATCATAGGCACTTGTTTAGTTTATATAGGCACTTGTTTAGTTGGTTTATATAACCATGATTAATGTAAACATGAAGCTAAATTTTATAACCCAGGAAATTGTCTTTCAAAAGCAGTGTTGAGTATTTTTAGTATATTTTGCAAGAAGATGTACAAAGTTTTCAAAAATGAGATAAATAGTTTTGTTGTCAGCTTCTAAATTTTTTTGGTCAGATTCTGAATTTAAAATTTCTCTTCCATTCAGAGGGAAATAGTTGATTTTTCTTCTAGGTTTTTGAAAAAAGTGATAGTTAAATATAAGGGAATTTTTCTCCTAAGAAATTTATAGGTTACTTTAGACAGGGCTGATTTGGACCATACCTGGAGTGTGTAGCCCATCTAGTTTATAACCTAAAATATTTAAAATTGCAGAGTAGTGTATACGATGTGCATGCTCTATGTATTTGCTTAATTTACTAGAGTAGAATAGTGCTGATCCCACTTTCTGGTACCATTGGGTGAAATGTATGCAAGCTGCCTTCTGAAATGTCAGTTTTAAGCATAAGCAAACTTTCTTAGGAAAAACAAAAAGGCTCAAACTAATTCTTTCTATAGTTCTATAGAAGGAAGAACTTTTCAAGTTCTTTTTGTATGGTATATAACATCTAGCTTCTAAACTTGTGAAAATGAAGCTATGACTGATTTCATAATTCTTGGCCGTTGGTTTTTAGAGGAAAACATAAGTCTCAGTAATAGCATGATCAATGAATAATTTATTATTTTGGAAGTTATTGTATTTGTGAAAAATTGCTTAGTTGATCAAAATTTTTTTAATCCAATTTTATTTTCAGAATGAAAAATGCCACCTGTTGGTTGAGCATGAGACTCAGAAACTAAAGGAGTTAGATGAGGAACACAGCCAAGAATTAAAGGAGTGGAGAGAGAAATTGAGACCTAGGAAAAAGGTAATTTTAAAAGCTTTAATTAAATTGATAATGTTTGCACTCATCCATCTACCCAGTTATTGGCTCTTTACCTAGTATGTGTCAGGTACAGAGTCTAGAGCAGGACATAGAGATGAAAAGACAAAGTCCTTATCTCCAAAAGTTTCAGAATCTAATACAAGCAATTACAAATCGGTAGGATCATTGTTCTGAAAGGAGGTAAGTGCAAGGTAAGGGTAAAGGAGCAGCATTTCTAAGCAAAGGAGGTGGAAAACTGACTGGGAAAGTCAGGGGAAGGCCTTAGAGAGGAGATGCCTTGTAAGCCAAGTGAGGCTTTAAGGATGAGTAAGAGCTTGCTAGGTAGATAGACAGATTAGGGTGGAATTGGGTAATTTAACTAGAGAGAAGAGGATGAGTGAAAATGCTGCATACAGATAATTACAAAGAGATCCCTGTCATTGGAACATTAGGCTGTGTGTGTGCCTATGTGTAGGCATTAAAGAGGGAAGAAAGAAAATGATGACAGCTAAGTCTGGACAAGGTCTACTGGAGCCGTATTACAAGGCTTTGGTGTGCTACGTAAATGTGAAATCCAGTAAAATAGGGAAGGCTTCCCTCTCTCTCTCCTTTTCCTCATTTGTACTTGACTCCATACTAGCCTGGTCTTATTAATTAACCATTTCAGTGTTGTTTTTTCTATCACTAAATAATCCCTCTCCCTTTGCCGACCCTCAAACTTTCATTTCCTTTTGGGCTTCCTACTTGCTATACATTTTAGCCATTCCTTTCTTCCATCCATCCATCCAATCAATGAAGGAAATATGTATTTAGCCTCTACCGAGTACCAAAGGTTTCTAGAGGAAGTGAGATGACTAAGTTGATAGTGTGGCTTTTTAATTTCTTTTTTTTTTTTTTAATCAAACTTGATTTATTAGATGTAGTTATTTCTTCACACTAGTAAATCAAAAACCAAGACCCAGATTTTATATACATGTATATATAAATATATATAAAAAGCAATGCAAACAATTATTGAACTTCATCTTCTGGACAAGAATGCCAAGTTAGTCTCTCTTCATAAAAAGCTATTACAATTTGAGGACACTTCATATTTGCCTCTTTTGCCAGCACCAAATCTGCCTCATCTGAATCTTTCCATTTCATAAGAAACATTAATTCTCCACTGCTATCTGTGACACAAATTATTCTTTCAGGATCAAGACCTCTGGCAAAGCCTCTTGGTTTGTCAGCAGCATCTCTTTTCTTCTTTGATTTGCTGTCATCAGATTCACTGTCAGATAAAGATTTTCTTTTTGTACCATCTTTTTCTTTACCAGCTTTTTGAGAATTAAGAAATGCTTCAATTAACTCTGGACAATCCAAATTTTCTTCAGGTTCCCAAGTATTGTCAGCATCTGTAAATTCCTTCCACTTCAGGAAATACTCCACTTTCCCATTTACTACACGTCGATCCAGTACTTTTTCCACCACAAATTCTTCAGGCTCTGCCTCTTCAACCTTTTTACTCTTCCCATTCTGTTTCTTTCCCATTTTTTGCAATGTAGTTTTATTGGAGGCCATTTTTTATTGCAGACTTGAAGAGCTATTATTCACCGCCTCTTTTTTTTTTTTTATATATATATATATCAGTTGGCCAATTAATTTCTTTCTATTTATAGTAGAGACGGGGTCTCGCTCTTGCTCAGGCTGGTTTTGAACTCCTGACCTTGAGCAATCCACCCGCCTCGGCCTCCCAAGAGCTAGGATTACAGGCGTGAGCCACAGCGCCCGGCCTATTCACCGCCTCTTGAGCTGCTCTGGGTCGCGGGTCTGCGGCATCTCTCGGCTTCTTAATTTCAGTTTTATTTGTTGTTAAATTTTTTGAATTGGTAACATATTGATGTAGTTCAGAATTCAGAAAGTACAGAATGGTAAGCAGTGAAAAGTCCTTTTCCTCAGTTTCTCTTTTTAACTCTTTGTAGTCAGCTGGGTTCAGTGGCTCATGCCTACAATCCTAGCACTCCAGGAGGTCGAGGTGGGAGGATTGCTTGAGCTCAGGAGAAGTAACTCTTTGTAGTCTAGCTTCCACCCCAAATTCCCCAATTGAACTTGTTGGCATTAGTCATAAATGAGTAGCTAATAACCAAATACTACGGCTTTATCTAACTGTTCTCATTAAAAGTCTTATTTCTTAAAATTTTCTTCTCACCTGGCTTTTGTGACATAACTCTACTCATTCTCTATGCTCTTTATCATCTTTTCTTTGTCTTCCTAAAAGGTGAGCATTTCCCAGTTTTGCACCTTTTGTTCTATTCTTTACCTTGATGATCTTATAGCTAGTCTTGGTTCCAGCTGTTGCATATTTATGGACAATTCCTAAACTTGAATAGTTGGGGTTGTATAGAGCACAGACTCTTAAGTCATACAGATGATGTAGGTTTAAGTCTCAGTGCTGACACGGATTAATTTTGTCAGTTACCATTTGTAGGCCCAGTTATCCTCATTTATAAAATTAGGATGATACTAACTACCCAATTGGAATAGTTAAGAAAGTTTAAGAAAGTGAGGTGTTTATAGCATTTATCTAGAACCTGAGCCATAATCAGGTTCAATGAATGGTTGCTGTTGCTATTATTGTTTATATATCAGTTTGAGCTCTAAGATCCCATTTTCCATCTGGGTGTTAGATTCTTCTTCATTTCATTCAGGCGTCTGTGTGTTCAAATATTTCATCAGTGGTTCCTTTTTTTGATCACTATACATAAAATAGCCCCCATACCCAGCTCAAGCAAGCATTCTGTATCCGCTCTTCTTTCTTTGTTTTTCTTTATAACACTCATCACCATGAGACACATTTGTTTATTTATTTATTTTTTTTTTGAGACAGTCTCACTGTGTTGCCCAGGCTAGAGTGCCATGGAGCAACCTCAAACTCCTGGGCTCAAGCAATCCTTCTGTCTCAGCCTCCTGAGTAGCTGGGACTACAGGCATGTGCCACCATGCCTGGCTAATTTTTTCTATATATATTTTTAGTTGTCCAATTAATTTCTTTCTATTTTTAGTAGGGACCGGGTCTCGCTCTTGCTCAGGCTGGTTTCGAAATCCTGACCCTGAGTGATCCGCCCGCCTCGGCCTCCTAGAGTGCTAGGATCATAGGTGTGAGCCATCGCGCCTGGCCCACATTTGTTTATTGTCATATCTCATGAGAATATAAACTCCTTAAAAGCAGGAACGTTATTTCTTGTTCACTCATACATATATCCAGCTTCTAGAACAGTTCCTGGCACATTGTAAATGATCAGTACATGAGTGTTGACTAAAGAATGTAAACTCAGTGGAGACAAAACCAAACTCAACATTCTTTTTTCCTTCCTCTCTGTGTCACCTCTCCTCCCTCCCTGCAGTCCACTCACTATCAGGTATTCTTCCCTATATTCCTGTTCTTTTAATTGACATCTAGGCTAGAAACCTGAATTATTTTTCATTTCTGTCACACCACATATTCAGTTAATTTTGACCCTCTTTTCATAATGTTTTCTCTCTTTCCCACTGCTATCCTACTTGCTTAAATTGTTCAGTAATGTCCTAATGGGACCTCTGGTTTCTAGTTCCATTCCCCTTCTTCCCACTTGCCTGGGAAGTGTGTTTGTTTATCAGAGTGTTTGTTTATCCACAAGAACTCTCTGATACTGTCCTGGTGGTGTAAATCTTCAGTAGTAAATCTTCAGTTCCATCAGAATTAATTAATAACATTAATCCCTTAATTTGTCTTTGAAGTCTTCATAGTACCACACTTGGGTCACATCACCCTTTCTAGCTTTATCTAGCCACTTTGTTTCTAGTCCGTGTTCCAGAATTGCGTGTAGTCACCATTCCTCACACCAACTCCTTGGTTTCCTGCCTTTGTGCCATGGTTTCAGCTCCTCTCTCTGGCATGCCTCCCCCATCCTGCCTGTCAAATTCTTGTCTTGCCTTCAAACGTAAACTCATGTTTCACCTCTTCTGAGAAACATTTCTGTATCCTTCCATCTTTTCTATGCTTTGTATCTAGAAATAGCACTTATCCCTGAATCACTTGTCCACAAAGTCATTGACACCTATAACAAAATACCATAAACTGTAGGCTGGAAAGTCTGAAATCAGGGTGCTCACATGGTCAGATTCTATGAGGGCCCTCTTCTGGGTTACAGACTGCTGACTTCTCACTGTGTTCTCACTGTGAAAAAAGAACTTCCTCTTCAGGCCCTTATGAGGGCACTAAACCCATTCCTGAGGGCTCCACTCTCATGACCTAATCACCTCCCAAAGGCCCCATCTCCTAATACCATCATGTTAGGGATTAGGTTTTGATAGATAAATTTTGGGGGTACACAGACATTCCGTTCACAACAATGCCTCAGATATTTATCAAGCACTTACTATTTTGCTTTCTGTTATGGAGATGTAAAGATGAATCTTATTTAGGTTCTGCCTTTATTTTTATTTATTTTTTTTTTTGAGACAGAGTCTTGCTTTGTTGCCAAGGCTAGAGTGAGTGCCGTGGCGTCAGCCTAGCTCACAGCAACCTCAATCTCCTGGGCTCAAGCGATCCTTCTGTCTCAGCCTCCCAAGTAGCTGGGACTACAGGCATGAGCCACCATGCCCGGCTGATTTTTTCTATATATATTAGTTGGCCAATTAGTTTCTTTCTATTTATAGTAGAGACGGGGTCTCGCTCTTGCTCAGGCTGGTTTCGAACTCCCGACCACGAGCGATCCGCCCGCCTCGGCCTCCCAGAGAGCTAGGATTACAGGCGTGAGCCACCGCGCCCGGCCTAGGTTCTGCCTTTAAACCACTTATAGTCTAGTGTATAAGAAAAGACAAGCACATCAGTAACTAAAATAAAAAGTAGAAGGAGATAAGTGCCATATGGAAGAAACAGATAATAGTTAATAATAGGTGCCATTTATTGGAGTGCGTAGTATGCATTAAGTACATCATTATCACATTTAATCTTCACATAGCAAATCAGTGAGGTAGGTAGTATTATGCCTATTTTACAGCAGAGGAATTAAATGATTCTCTAATATAAAGATGTTAAGTAATGGACCCAAGTTATCTATTCATATGGGTGAGCTGGACTTGAATGTAGGGCTGTGCAAAGCTTATGCTCTTAACTATTGAGCAGTCATGTCTTCTTTGGGATAACATACAGAGAAAGTGCTTTGCACAAGTCATTTTATCTTGGCTGTCAGTATAAATTCCGTATGTAATACCAGCACATAACAATTTTATTTTTCCTTTCTTTTTAAGACGCTGGAAGAAGAGTTTGCCAGGAAACTGCAGGAACAGGAAGTGTTCTTTAAAATGACTGGGGAGTCTGAATGCCTTAACCCATCAACACAGAGCCGTATTTCCAAATTCTATCCTATTCCTAGCTTGCATTCCACTGGATCATAACATGGGAAGCATTCTGTGCTTGGGTTTGGCTTTTTAAATATGTCGTTCTATTCTCTTCATCTTCTGCCACAGTCTATATCAGATAGCTCACGAAGACAATCACCTGCCTCACGTTCTAGGTGTTTTTTTGTTTTTTGTTTTGGATTTTTTGTGTTTTTTTTTTTGAAGCAAAGATGAAGGGAAAACAAACTAAGATGCTGGGCCATGTTGGCAAAGTAGCATCTTGTAGTAATTCCCTAAGGTGATTTTGTATATTAATCTTAAAAATTGTATTCTTTAGACACTGTTACCTGAAAAATTGTTACAAGAAATAATGTTTAAAGTTATTTTTAAAAAACTGTTACATCACTAAGTATTAATAAATGTCTTTTTACCTGCCCTAACTTCTCAGTGATGCCTAAATTCTATAGCTGAAGCTCTGCTGTAGAGGGTTGAAATGATTTTCTTTTGGTGAATCAGCTCTCATAAAAAAGCTATGAATTGCTCAAAATGTTCTGTTGATTCAGTGAATAAATATATTTTATCTTTAAATAGGAATAAACTCTTTTAAAAGAGAGAAATTATTTCAGTAATTTGTTGAAAATAATTACTTATTTAGGCATGAGCTAATAATTGAAGGTGCTAGTTTTATTAAGATAGTGCCTAAAACACTAAATTTTAATCAAGTCTAAAATAGGATTTTTTTTTATCAACAGGGACATAAACATCCTTAGCATTCAACATTACTGTGTTAAAAATCTTGTTCTTATTACCATTGGATGGAAATATTCTTCCTAAAATATATATTGTACAAAGTTTGAAAAGACAAAAAAAAGTAGCTTTTAGATGTGCAAATTGGAAATGTAGAACACCAAATTAAAAGTATTATAGATTTAGCTGTCTTAGTTTATTTTCTAAAATAATACATAAGTTAAATGACTTCCCTCCATCTTAGTGAATTCTCTTCATTTAAAATTCTGTGAGAAGCTTACAGGCTCTGAGTTATATTTATAAATATATTTTCTGAAATTAATCTTAAAAGAGGCATTTATTCAGAATACTTTTTTTTAAAAAAGGATTTAAATATTTAGGCAAATGTCAGAAATGACTTTTCATTGTTTTGAAATCAGGCTACTTACATTTTGGTTTTATTTTGTTCCGTATTTAAATTATTTACTTTGGGAAAAGCCTGAAACCTTTATCATGTGGTTGCTGATATATGTACTTATTAATGAAATGTTCACTCTTAGTCCCTTTTGAGGCTTGGAATTTCAACCATGTGTCAGGTCAGACAGTATTATGAACTGGACTTTGGTATGAGAGACAGCACATTTGTAAATGATGCTTGTTGCCCGCCATTTACAACCTATTCTCTCTTAAGAGTGCTAGGTACCAAATTATAAAAGTTTGTTTTTAGTTATACTACTTTTGAGGCTGGTGAAAAATTTAAATGCAACTTTGTGGGAACACTGATTTATACTAAGAAAATGTAAATGTCTGTAGCACTTTCTTGCAGTTAATTTGAAAACTTTAGATGCTGAACCTTATTTTATCAGTGGTTTAGAGGATTTAAAAATGCATGTGCGATTTTAATTTTGTAATTGTTTTGACAAGCATAACTTGGACAACTTTGTAGGTAGCCTTAACTTCTGGCCAAGTTTGTTTTTTATATAAATATATATACATATATATATTATGTATGGTTGTAAATTCATACACTTATCACATAAATGTGTTACTGTATACAAAACTCTTTTAATGCTTTATTCTCAAATGCTGGGTTGAAAAATGTTTTTAAAGCCTTTTGAAATATATATCTTTATAGAGTAATATTCAGGATGATGGAAATTGTTTATATTGTTATGATAAAAATGACAGTATAATGTTGCCCAGTGTATTTAATGATTTATTTGATGATGGAGTGGGGAGGAAGGTTCTCATAACCACTTTCTCCTTTGAAATTTTCAGTTTATTAGCTTTTTAAAAATGAATACTTTAGGCAGTGGATATTTTTTCAGTATCATTGAAATGATACTCTGTGTGCTAAAGTTTGTGGCGCCTAATTAATTTGGTCTGAATATTTGATTCTTTTCCTTTCAATTTGACATTCAGAGTATTGACTCAAGGCGAAAGGCTCAGAGTGGCATGGTTGATGCTGTGGGTGAAATTATTAGCGACTCTCATCTCCCTTAAAGCTGCCTTTTGGATTCAGTGTTTGTGCTTGAGTTTTCTTTCAAACATGACCGTAATCATATGGGTGCAAGACTATACAGTGGTACCTATGTAGAGGTGAAGCATTCATTTTCATACTTAAAGTTATGTAAATCTTTTCAAAAAGTGTTTTGTTACAGAATATACTGTTTGTACCCATACTGGCCCACCTCTCCTTAGGCCCTATATTCAAATAGATAATAGTGATCATTCTTTCTTACATGAAGTGTAGGTAGGGAGTGGGCGAGAGGCACAGACTTCCTTGAAATCTAAGAGTACAGTCAAATTTCTTCCTGATTTGGTTGTTTTGTTGCTGTGGCAAAATGTGCCATGAAATGCATAAAAGTACTTCTTCATAGGTGCACCCTAATCAGTCCCCTCTCCTCTTTTTCCTGAGTGCTGTGAACACACCAGACCTGCACACTTTTGTAGGTCCAGCTCCTAGAGCTTGGGGCACCAGGCTGCCTTCCTAGTCCTGTCAGCCATAGGGTATGAATTGCTGAATTAGCTGCTATTTTATGTGGAGTCACATTAAGCTTTTTCTTACCCTTCTCTATGGGGAAGCTATAGGGTGGGTAAGGAGGAAATTAGAGTGCTTTTACTTTGCTAAAAATATTAGAACTTTCCTGTGACAGGATACAGCAAATTGTAATTAAATATAAACCAGAACCAGAGCTACCTCTAAGTAGTATTTCCTCAAGCACAAAGCTCTCAGGCATATGAGACTCACCTTACTAGAGGGTCTCTGATTTCTTGAGCTTCAGTGAGTTTCAGAAGTGACTATTTTTTGTACTCTTCTAGTTTCCTTGTAACTACACACTTTTTCCCATTCCACACTGTGCTTAAATGACAGACTTCTGAGAAGCCAAATTCTGTCAAAGTATTAGCTAGAGATGTTGATTAAAGAAAAACCTAGACTGAAGTGGAAGAAGAGTGTTCCAATTCTAATAATCTTTTGCTTAAATAAATCAATTCTTTTCTGGGAAATGATTTTTTTATAGGAAATGGGATGATATTTTAAATGCTTTTCTTAGGTTGAAGGCACAACAGTTAATGCCTCTATTGTTGCTATTCTGTGGCTGATGTGGTTTTGATAAAGCTTTAAAATTTCTGCTACTAAGCCTGGGATAGAGTGTTTTACCAGTTATAAATGTTGGCTGCAGCTTTTTGTGATCCTTCTCTGATTTGCAGTGTAATGAGTTCATAAGCTAAATTTTCAGCAAGAATTTTGTTTCAGATTATGCCACTTGTCTATTTGAGAGCAACATGTCTTTTCAATCATGAGATTGACACATAAAAATAAAGTTATTTCTTAATCTATCTTGGGAAGCGGTCTTTTATTGAGAATCTTTGAAACTAGATTGTCCTGCATGAGAACACTTTGCAGGTTTTTTGGTCCTACTTGTATTTTAAAACGTACAATCCTCCAAGTGTTCTGATCCTTCCGGACTTATTAGCATTCCTTGCCATCTGTAGTCCACACCACATGCACATACACACAGTGTATGTGTATTATGTACTATTTACTACACAGTAAATATAGTATTTACCAGTAATTTACTGGAAGGTGTCTTTCAGCATGCCAACCCTTCCTTTGAGAGGTGCCTAAACTATTTCTATCAATGTGTGTGTGTATATATGTATGTGTGTGTGTGTGTGTGTATATATATATATATATATTTCCTTTTTCTCCCCTTGGGACAGATTATTTTTCTCACCAAATATTTCACAAATCATATGACCTCACTTCTTCTATAAAATAACCTCTTTTTGTCATTTATAAGTTCATGCAGGATTTAGTAGACACTAGGCAGCATCATTTGGCAAGTGTTCAGCTTGGCTGCAGGGAGGCATAGCATGTCATTTTCTAATCAAGGAGCATCATGCACTATTGAGCTCATTCTTGACTTTTTTTTTTTTTTAAACAAAAGAGCCTCAGATCCATTGCTATCCAGCTGGGGACATATCTCATATCTGCTCATCCTCTTTCTGGGTTTTGTCCAGAGAAGGTAGCAAGTTTGGAGTTTTGCCCTATTTCACTTGAAGATTTTTGGATATCTTAGTAAGGTAAATCTAATAACAAGGGAAAAACTCTTAAGTCTGATTAATTAAGATAAGAATCATTATTAAGGGAGATATAATACTTAAGCCCCTGAAGCTATTTTTAACAAGAGTCAAAGCTATGAAAATGTAAAATTAAATTTGGCCTTTGGATAAAACTGGTAAGTTCTTTTGAAAAAATTTTTAAAAAGGCACATCACATTCGTTATATACAATAATAAGTTTTCATTAGAGTAAAAAGTTGTTCGAAATTCTTATTTTTAAAATTCCCATATTCACAGCAGGTAGCTATCAGGATATAATAAAGGAAGCAAAAAGACCATGTAGTATTGGGTGCTTGACTGGGTTTTTCTGTTAGCAGTTGTTTGATACAGTGGAACTAACTAAATCATGTGCTTTTTCTAGGATAATATGTGGGATACTTAGGAGAGGCCATATGGAAAACAAACATCACAGTCTTTTAGAAGTAGATTTAATTTAATCTCATTAAAAATTATCCTTAAAATTATCCAGTAATTGAGAGGTCACAATTTGTTATAAATTCAAAAGTTGGCCAAGTATAGCCTTTTCTGAATTTGAGTGTCTGATTTTACTGTGAATTTCTTGGAGGCATTTGATAGTTGTACATTTTTGTTTAATAGGAGTTTTGTTATTCCATATATTACTTGCCTTACAGTCATAATTTGCCCCAGGGTAAAGCATTGCATTAATTGCAAGTAATCTCGTTGCTCATTTATTGCATATGTGTTTATTTCAACTATTAGTAACTCATGCTTAGGGAAAACCTTCATATACTTTGTAATATGCCCAGATTGAGTTAATAGTTGCAGACAAAGGTCTGTCTTTAAACATCTTAGTGATTAAATGAAATGCCAGAAGCTGTGTCCCAAAATACAACCAGTTTTTTTTTCTTGTGTTTATAATAGTGTTAGACCCTGTTAACCCAGAATTTTTTTTTTAATATTTCTTTGGTCAGATGAATCATATTAAACATGATATTAAAAAAGAAAAAACCTTTAATTGGAAATTTTACAATTGAAATGACTTTATCTTATAGACCACCTACAAATGTTTTTAGACATTGAAAAGTGCTTAAAAATCAACCACGCCCAGTCCCCCATGCCATTTCCTAAGTGCAGAACAGAGGGTGAACAGAGGGTGACATCTCAAGCTGAAGCCATCTGTCCCCAGCATCAGGTATTCTTTCCCCTCCCCCTTCCTTGCCCATTGCCCCTCACCCTTCTTTTCCTATTTGCTGTAGCCTAGTTCAGTATAATGTATCTGTGAACTCTAGCATGGACCTATGGACAGATCATAGCTACAATCAGACTTCTAAGCAAGTGGGAATATGCTATACATATAGAATATGATAACCATTAGAAACCCTGTCACCTCCTACAGGGGAAGTGAATTTCTTAAGTTTTTCAGTTCCAAGAGTCACTTCTTAGCCAACTCGATTCTGTGACCAGAGAATGCAGAGTGGAAAGGGGAGGAAGGAGCTGACAGCACAGCCTTGCAGCAGTTGCCAGAACACACCCCCATCAAGTGTCACCTCCAGGAAGGCACCCCATTCCCGTCTTCCATTTTCTGGGCTCATATTTAGGCAAAGCTCTAAGACTCCTGAGCCAACTTTTATGTAGCTGGCTCTCGTAGGTTGAGGCTTGTACTAAGTATTACTGAAGCCAGGGAGCTCGGGTCTAGATAGAAGAGAAGCTAGTCACATTCTAAAAACATTGCAACTATTCTTAAAATCTACTCAATGAAGCTGTTTCAGATTGTGTGTCTTTGACTGAGTTCTATATACGTATATTTTGTTCAGACTAAAACAAGTGTTGCTAGGTGACTATTTGGCTATGCTATCTCCGTAGGACACTGACAGACTCCAGCTTTCACCCTCTGGAGACATTTGACCTAAGTGTCATATCCATTGAGAGAACTGGTCCAGGGGTTTGTCCCACCAAAGCTTGCTCATGGCTTTATGGCGATACTTCTCTTTCTCCGCCCAACATAGACTTGGTCACCTGAAAGAAGATGAGTAGAAAGTTTAAAAATATCTGTGGTCTGCAGGGACCTTAGCTCAGGCAATTACTGCAAATGTGACCCCTGCAAAGATGGTTTCAAGGTTAAATCTTTTGTAAAGCTCAGTTTATTTACATCACCCACTTTCATCGCCAGCCAGCTTCATTCTCCCTTTCCTCCCTGCCTTGGCACTCTCCTTCCTTTCTCCCTCATTGTGAGTGTGATTGTTATGCAAATTCTGTTCTTGGCAGCGCCTGCCTTCAGTGATTGCCATTTGTCTGAATTTCTCAGGCTTGCTCTGGAACAAATCACTTGCTTCTCTACAGAGCACCTGCCTTGCAGCACTCCAGAACCCCCAGCAGCCAGGCTTACCTTTGTCTCCTTTTTCTCCCTTGTGCCCTCGAGGGCCAGGATGACCTGGTGGTCCAGCAGGGCCCCTGTCACCTAGAAGGACAGACGGGGACATGACTAAGTGATGCATGAGTGTGGGGACTGAGGATGAGGGAGCCAATGTAGCACCAGCAAGGGAGCTGCTTTTTAGCAAGAGGTCACTGTTACGTAGGATCGTGGGGGCTGGCTTCCTGCTACCACTTACCTTTGGGTCCTGGGGAGCCCACCTCTCCCTTCTGCCCAGGGGGTCCTGGAATGGCTCCATAAGCTACAAGGGGTAGAAAAACTGGCCTTAGACTAGAGTCACCCTGAAGCTTGGGAGGTCAAAGTAACACAGATAGATGGTGATGGAGTTTGGTCTTGTAGGAGGAAACAAAGTTTAGAATTAATATGTTCAGTTTTCAGCATCTCAAGTGTTAATAACTGGAGGTTTTTCCTGAGACTTTTGTCTCTGGAGCAGGCCCCGTGTGAGACGGCAGTGAGTCAGATGCTGTGAGAGTAACTGGCATGCCCTTACTTCGGAAGAAGTCCATGAGGTCCGAGGTCACGTTGCTGTAAGCGGAGAAGACCTTGCTGATGCCAGGTGGCCCCTGGGGCCCAGGCCGGCCTGGTGGGCCCTGGACAGTGTAGGCCATGCCTTGCAGCAGGCCCTGACCTGTAAAACACCAGAGCGTGGGCCCAGGAAGCAGGGGTCGCCTGGTACCCTCTTCAGTAGGCAGTGCCCCCAAAGTAGTGACACTCCTAGCAAGGGAACAGCTCTGCTGACTTCCTTTGTATTCCCATGTGACTGGCAGAGGTGTCTGCCCGCTGCAGGCCTTCAGCAAAGGCAAATGTAACTGCGGATAAACTATAGAGTGAAAGGACTTCTTAGCCAACATCCTTCCCTCAGCACCGCCAGAAGACTAGCATGGTCCTAACCACTCTTCTGGGACCGAGAAGAGGTTCGGTGTTGGGAAAGCGAAGCACACAGACCCCGGTGTGCTGTGCCCGGCAGCTTAGTTTCCAGCACAGGGGCCTTTTGAGCTGAGTGAGCTGAGAACTAGCATGGGGCCTCCTGTCTTCAGTCCCTGCCCATCTGACTCCAGACTGCTGTCTTCAGAGCCTGGGTGCTCCAAACACGAGAAGGCCAATCTATGGAAATGCCCACATACTCCCCCCAGCACCAAGGCCTAAATGTCCCTACTCACGCTGCAAGCTCTCCGACACCCGAACAGCCAGCTCATTGTAATCCAGACCTCCAGCGAAGCCAGCCGAGAATGGCCCGCCTTCACCACCATACATGCCACCTGCCGCTGCCCCGTAGCCTCCATCTCCGGCCCCACCAAAGGCTGCCCCTTCGCCCAGAGCGCCTCCGCCGGCTCCCCCCAGGCCCATGGAAGAGCTGTAGGAGCCGCCCCGGCTGGAGGACGAGCTGTGTGAGGAGGAGCTGCTCGTCCGCCGGTAGGAGTCATCCATGGACAGGAGGCGACTGTCCCCAGGTGGTCCCTGTGGCCCCGGGGGACCTGGGGGGCCAACAATGAAGCTGCGCACGTCAGGACCTGCGGGGTGGGGAGCTGTGTGAGTGGGAGCTCAGATCTCGGCGGAGAGAGACTAGAGTTAGAGGGTCTCTCCCAGGGTCTCAACACCTCTTCGCAAGCAGAAGTGAACTTCAGGGCCCTCGTACATGAGCAGGAGAATGCAGGTCGGCAAGAAACCGGGCTTACACCGACCCCTGGCGCTCTTGCGCCCGGCCTCCCGCTTCCTTCAAGCACCTTGCTGCCCCACCGACCGGGAAAAGTGAGGTCTGGGGAGGGGCGGGGGACCCAATGTCAGGGCACCTACTCGTGAGGTAGCTGATCAGCTCACTCCGGAAGCTGTCACTGTTCTCAGTCGCATAGGTTGCCAGAGCTCCCGAGACACCCTGGGGGCCTCGAGGACCTGGGGGACCAGGAGGGCCTGGAGGGCCTGGGATGGATGACAAGCCGGCAGCTGAGCAAGGGAAGGGAAAGAAGGGTCAGAGCCATGCTGCCGGGGGAGCTGGACCCAGCCAGGGCCCAGGGCCCCTCCTGGAAGGTGGCGAAGAGGCTGGGCCTCCCGGGTGAGGGGCAGGGCCCACATGCTGGCACCATCCAGGAATGGCTGCCCCCGCAGGCCCTCCCACTCCCAAGTCTGAGCCTCATTCCACCCAAATCCTGTCGCCTCCTCCCAGCCCTTCCGTCACTGGGAGGTTGAGCCCCGGTTTGGCCCCAGGCACAGGCCAGGCTCCACTTAGGGCGCTGTCTCTCCTCACTCCCCCAGGAGCCCTTGGTGAGGAGCACTGATCTAACTCTGCGTGGCTGCCCTCTGCCCTCCTCATCCTGGCTCCCCAGCGCCCTACTATGCAAGTAAGATGAGAGGTCCTCCATGCTGATGCTGGACCACACATTGCCAGGGATCCCTGGGGGCCCTGGGGGTCCTGGGGGTCCAACGATGCCTCTGTATTCGGACCCTGAGACACAGGGGAGGGCAGGGGGTCAGTTCTGGCCTGCACCAGGGGCTCTGCCTCCTCCCAGACCACCTGGACAGACGTCCCCTGCTCAGCCTTACCTCGGAGCAAGGAGAGGAGCTCCTCGTAGGACGTTCCGGGCAGGCCAGGGGGACCGGGGGGCCCGGGGGGGCCAGGGAGCCCGATGCTGATCCCAGAACCTGGAGAGAGAATCTCAAGCTGTGCTGGATTCAGATCGGGCAGGGGAAGGCAGAGAGAAGACTGTCGGAGAGGAGGTCACACATCAGAGATTTAGACCGAAGTAGGGTCTGAGGAAGGGGGCAGAGGAGGTGGCAGGAAGAGAGAGGCGGAGAGGAATACTGCAGAGACAGACACAGAGGGAGGAAGGGCAGGAGGGAGAGGAGGGGCCAAGAAGAGTGCAGGTCAAGGCTGCCCATCTGCGTCACCCTGCTGCTGCATGAACGGGAGAGTATGAGTGTGTGTGTGTGTGTGTGTGTCCATGGGTGTGTGTGTGGGAGTGTGTGTGCATGTGCGTGTGTGCACGTGTGCATAGGAGAGTGTGTGTGCATGGGAGAGTGTGTATGGGAACGTGTGTGTGCACGCCTGTGTGCATAGGAGAGTGTGTGTGCATGGGAGTGTGTGTGCATGTGTGCATAGGAGAGTGAGTGCATGGGAGAGTGTGTGTGTGCATGTGTGCATAGGAGAGTGCATGGGAGAGTGTGTGTGTGCATGGAAGAGTGTGTGCATGGGAGAGTGTGTGTATGGGAACGTGTGTGTGTGCATGTGTGCATAGGGGAGTGTGTGTGTGTGGGAGTGTGTGCATGTGTGTGTGCATGAGAGAGAGTCATGTGTGGACTCCACGAAGGTCAGAGCCCCAGACACTGGTTTTGGCTTTGTTGGCCACACTCCTTGACCTGCTCTGGAGTCGCAGGTTTGAGTAGCTCGGAACGCCGCTCCCTCTGCTGGTCTGGAGCCTGGCAGGTCAGTGGGGCCACTTCAGGGAAGCCCAGCACCGAGTCCTCATCCCAGGCGCCTCTTGACCGCCCCTCCTGACCATCCTGCCTGCAGAGGGCAGGCCAGGCGGCAGACACTCACTTGACATGTAGCTGAGAATGCGGCTGCTCAGCTCTGCATAGTCCAAAGACAGGAGGGCCCCGTCCCCACTGGCCCCCATCAGTTGCTGACGTAGGTATTGGCGCACGTCATCCCCTGGAGAGGAGAGGATGTACTAGCATGGACGCACCCCGGCCGCAGGCGTCCCAGCCTACCCCCTGCACGGACTGGCTCCCAAGGGCCATTGGCGAGTTCTGGGTTCGCAGGCCCACTCTGGCCAGGCTCCTGAAGGGGCACAGCCTGCTTGCCTGGCACTGGGGTTGGGGGATTTGCTGCCCCCTTTCCGGTCAGATTCTGACTCAGCCAGCAGATCAGAGCCAAGTGGCTCCTTGCCCCGGGGACTGCCTCCCACTTGCAGCCTGACAAGTGAGGTCAGGAGAGAACAAAGAGGGTCCCACCCTCGAGCCCACCGCAGGCACTCACGCTGCAGCACGGCCAGGATGTCTTCGGAGGAGATGGAGGCGGAGGAGCGGCTGACGCTGTACCCCGAGGCTGCCAGGAAGAAAACCCCAGGTTACCTGCATAGCGGGTACTGGAGCAACGCCCTCCTTATTCCAGAATCTGAAAGACTCGGTCAACTAGCCACTTCTCTTTGGGGGAAGCGAATGAATGGGGGCATTATGAAGCTATTCTGAAAGCTTGAAAAGGTCAAAAGTTGTTTGTTTGTTTTCAAGAATGTGCTTTAGCCTAACTCCTACCAGATACTGCCGCCCTGAAGGCGCTGTTTTCCAGAACAGGTAAGACGACCCCCAGTTAGGGCGGCTAGCCAAGCGCAGGAGGCTCCCTCAGCATGGCTCTCCCGTGTGCTCCTAACCTGAACGAGCCCTGCTGAAGCTGTGTCCCAGTGGCCTGGTTATTATGAATGCAGAATTAAAAATCGTATTCAAGAGAAGGGCAAAGAGAGCAGCAAAGTAAGAGAGGGGCTCTGGCAGCCAAAGTGGCCCCTGAGGAGGAAGGCGCCCAGGTCCCGGGCGTGGGAGACGCTCACTCTGTAGGTAGCTCACGACCTGGCTGGCCAGCTCCGCGTAGTTGAAAGTCTCGCCTGTGATGGTGGTGACAGGCCCTGGGGGACCAGGCGGGCCTGGGGGACCCTGAACTCCAGACAGGTAAGATCTGATACTGTCACCTGCCAACAAAGGAATAAAGCACAGTCAAGCCTGTCCCCAAGAGGACAGGTCCTCCCCACAGAGGTGACCTGGAGCATGTGATGAAATGCTTGGCCTGAACCCCACGTGGGCCCAGGGCCGGGCCAGCAGGGAGCCTAGATTCTTCTTGTTGTCTTTCCCCCTGTCACCGATGCAGAAACTGAGGCAGAAGCCTGTCCTCGGTCAGGGTCAGGTGGTCCGTGGGGGCTGTGGTCCAACAAGACTCCGGTCAGCCACCCATTTGACAAATGACCCACGTGCAGGCATGAGGTGGGAGAGTGCACGTGTGAACGTGTGTGTGGGCGCGTGGGTGAGCGTGTGAGTGTGCCAGCCACCCTGCCCTGGTGTGGGGGTAAGGACGAGGCTGGGTGGGCAGCTGTGAGGCCGGTACTGGGGGCTCCCGGCCTGCAGGCCTGGCTTCATGGGTGGAAGACCCAGGCCTTTCCGCACAGACTGGCTCCCCGACACACACACTCACTCACACACTCACTCACTCACGTACTCCCGCTGCCCTACGAGGCCTACAGGCTGGGTGGCCGGCCACTCACTCTGCATGTACTCAGAGATGTACTGCTGAATCTCCCGGCCAGAGCTGCTGATGGCGCCTGGAGGCCCCGGGGGCCCTGGGGGGCCGGGTGGGCCCTGCATGTACATGGTGCTCGATGACCCTCCTGCAGGAAGGAGAAAGTGGCCTGAGCTGGCTTCTGTAGCCCAGGGTCAGACTCACAGGGGCCAGGCATTGCTTCCACAGTCTGAGGGGGAAGGGTCTCTCCCAGGGGGAAAATGGGGCCATGGCAAAGAGAAGGATCCCTGAGAGAGAGGAAAGGAGTGCCTATGGCAGCCACTGTCTGAAAGGGGCAGAGCTGGGGAGAGGAACTTTGGTCACCTGTGGTCCTTACCTTGAGCGGAACCACCAGGAATGCCAGGAGTTCCTGGGACACCGGGATCACCTGGCATCCAAAACAAGAAACCCTGTTTGCATCACCTCCTCCAGGAAGCCTTCCCTGGTTAAGCCCAGCCACACTCATTAGTGTGTGGCACAACATTGTCCCACAACTCCTGGCCACATTTCTGTAATGACACCACAGAGCCCTGTGCACAGAGACTGCCTGTCCACGTGCTCGCCCCTCCGTCCCTCTGGCTCCTCTCCCTCCCAAGCCTTCAGCAGCAACAGCACTGCTGCCTTCTTGGGCTCTGGGCTCTGGGCACCAGGCCTGCCCTGACTCTTCCTGGCTGCTCCCTCACTGACCTTTGTCCCCTTTGGGGCCCTGGGGGCCAGGTGGGCCTGGGGGGCCAGAGAAGACGGTTTCTGCAGAGGAAAGAAATAGTTTGAGTGTGGATGTAGGACCTAGCACAGCACTTGGCTCACTATATAGATGCTCAATCAGTACTTGTGAGTGGGTGGATGGATGGGTGGTTGGATGGTTGGGAGGCTGGATATAAAAATAAACGAATGGATGAATGAATGAATGAACAGATGAATAGATGGACGAATTCCACTAGGGACAAGTTCTGGCCTACTGTTTGCTCTACAGTGATGTCCGTAAGTTCCTATGTTGTATTGTCAGCGTTTATCTCATTTCACATGCATGTGTCCTATCTGCTTTATCAGACCCGGGCTCCGAAGCACAGGAACCAGGTGTCTCCAGTCAGTCCAGAAACTCCCCAAGGGGAGGGCTGGCTCCCTCCCCCAGGCCGGGCCGCCAGGGTGGTTGGGTTGCATGGTTTGCTCCCCTGGAGCAGCAGGCAGTAGGGAGATCAGACACACGTGCCCCATGGAAAGTCAGGAGAAGGGAGTTGGTGAGTCAGCCAGGAAGACCACGCCTGTGACCACAGCCCGTGCCAGGGCGAGGGCTGAGGTGGAGAACAGCTGTCATCCGACTCCCCAACATTACCTGACTCAGCCAGGAAAGATCCTGGAGGGCCCGGCGGGCCTGGCAAGCCTTCCCCTAGAAGAGAACCCCCAAGATTTATTAGTGCCAAGAGCAGGGCTAGGAACCTTCTGCCCAGCAGGACAGGGTGGGGAGACGCTTTGCTAAGAGTCAGCCCCAAGGAGTCTGGGCTGGGGGTCCCACTGTTGCCCACCCCTCACCTCCCCCCTCAGCCCCGCCTCCCAGCAGGGAGCCCGGCTCGCACCTGGTGGGCCTCGGGGTCCTGGCGGGCCTGGGATGGAAGGCCCTGTGGAAGAGAGGGTGGGAGAGGCGACGCTGAGCTCAGGCAGCTGACACTGCACCTGAGAGCAGGACCTTGGCTTCCTCACCAAGTGCTGTCCCCTGTGCCCCAAGACGCCCCACCTTCCATAGATCCCTGAGATGCTCACCTGGTGGCCCACGTGGCCCAGGTGGGCCTGGGGGACCTCGTAAATCAAGACCTTCTGTAGAGAGAAGAGAACAGAAATGAGCAAAAGCTGTCAGGAGGCTGCTCTCTGCTGCAATCCCCTCGGCAGGACTGGCAGTCCCAGGCACCCTTTCGTGGCACGGGACCCTTCAGCGCTCCGTCTGCTAAGGGTGCCCCTCACTCAGAGGCAGAGCGGGGCTGCAGTCAAGCTCCCTGACAGCTGATGAGGGCATATGGGACGACGGCTAACCTGGGCTTGGGTGTCAGAGAGCCTGGGTTCAAAGCCCTGTTCTGACACATCTAGCTGGCGACTTTGCACAAGTTCTTAACCTCTTTCAGCCTCAGTTTCTGCCTCTGTAAACCAGGGTCAATGAGTCCCACATCGCTGGGGTGTTGTGAAGACTCAGTGAGACACGGCTGAATGCTAAGCCCTGGCATGACAAGAGCGCATAGTGAGCACTGGACCGGGTGTGGCTGTCGCCTTTGCCCTCTGTCACTCCAGGTGTCCAGGTGGAGACCCAGCGCATCTCCACCTGGGCTCTTTGCAGGACTCTGTGAGCATGGGGACGGGGAATCAGCCCTCCCCACGGACCCCGGTGGCTGCTCTCTTTGAGTGGGGCCCGCACTCCTGCCAGACACGCACTTTCAAGGCGGGGTCTGCCCTCGGCAGCTGCCCCAACCCCAGCTCTCACCCTCTCACCCCAGACAAGCCCCTGCTGCTCCTTTCAGCCTTCACTGCTTTTGGAGGACTTCTCATCCTAACACCCTCACATCGGGACGACCTGCTGGTGCAGCTGCCACACGCCCCAATTGCGCTGCCCTCGCTCTACCCCCCAGCCCCTCGCGCCACCAGCCCGGGAAAATGGTGCCACTCACGGGCGGAGAGGACCTCGGAGATGGAGCTGCTACTAGCCAGGAACGATTCGCCAGCAAGTCCTCGCTCCCCGCGCGGGCCTGTCGGGAGGACACAGAGTTAGGGTGGGCTCTGCCTGCAGCAACCGCTTCCCCTTGGGAGGGGCCTGGTGCCAGGTGACGGGCGGGGCCCGGTGGAGGGGCGGGGCCTGGTGCCAGGTGACGGTCGGGGCCCGGTGGAGGGGCGGGGCCTGGTGCCAGGTGGAGGGCGGGGCCCGGTGGAGGGCGGGGCACAGATGTTGATCACGGGCGAGTCAGTGGCCAGAGCCCCCAGGGGGAACTGGGCCAGTTTTTCCTGAGCTTGTTTTGCCATTTGGATAAATCGCTGGACAGCAGAATGATGGCGGGATTATCAAGGTCTGTCACAAACGGCCCGAGGCCTGTGAAAGCAGCCCTGGTCGACCCTGACCAGGGGGCCACAGAGCCCCAATCTCCATCTCCCTGCCCTGAGGACCCCACCTTCTCAGAAACGTGGGAGGGGGTGAGGGGAGGTGTCTCCCCTGGCCGCTGAGACCTTGCAAGGCTCCTGGTGAAGAGCCCTGGCCACCCCTGGCCTCCCTTTCCAAAACACACGTCCCTCTTCATCTAAAGCACAGTCCATCCCCGAGTCTACCCCCCCAACCCTGGGGGAGGAAAGTCCTCTTCACTGAGCCCACAGCCATGTATTCTTCAAGGGTGTGACATACCTTGCTGTCCTGGGAGACCAGCTGGGCCAACAGGGCCTGGAAATGGGGTTGGGGAAGAAAGGGATAAGTCACACCTCTGGGGTCACAGGAACAAGTGAAGAAAGGGCAGTCACATGAGTGCACACATCATTCCTCACAAGGCATGGAACAGTGGCCAAGGAAGCCAACTTGCTTATTTGAATTTGAGACCAGTAAGCAATTTGAGAGCAGCCCTGAGGTCCAGCTTGGTAAGAACATCTCTGATGGGTCTTGGGACCCGTGGGTTGGGCAGGGCTGCCCTCTCTGGTACTGTCCTTTAATGGTTGGGGACTTCTATGTTCTCTCAGTGTCCTCCCTCTCACTGGAGCTGGTCAGCATGGAAGGCTGGTGCATACACTGGTCGTGTTAAGTCATGTGCTTCATTCGTATATAAAAAGTTTAAATAATTAAGATATATATATATATATATAACAAAATAACAGGCATTTTGGAAATACAGAAAAAATTGCCCATAATTCTTTAACTTGTGAATATTTTGTCTTGTTTCCCTCCAGCACTTTTTTGTGTCTTGTAAAAATATACTTGCAGCCTCAGAGCACTCACTATTGAGTCCTCTGCTCTTCAAATGATACTGTTATCTCCTAGCAACTTTCTTCAGAAGTCTTCATATTTTTGTCTCTATCCCATCATTGTTGGACAATGTGGAGATATATTCTCCTATTAGATTCCTAGCATTTTTGTTGCCCTTGATGCATATTATCAAATTGTCTTCCAAGAGGAAACAAAGGGCTCAAGTGTTCTTCCTGGTCACAGGCTCTAGGACAATCTGGGCCAAATCCTTGCCCTGTTGCTTCCTGGCAGTGCACCTCCACCTTCCTACCGGTGAATCTGAGAGCAGCATAGGCCTCCTCCGTGGTAAGGTAGGGTAACTGACCCACCTAATTTTCTCAGATGACAGAGTTTGTTTTTCTCAGGCCAAACTGCTTACTCTCTCTCCCACGTTCCCGCCCTGGGCTTTAGCACCTGAGCAAACACGGCTGGCGTCGCTGCAGCCGAGGCCTGCTGCTGATTTGGGGCAAAGTGAAAGAATGGACTCACCTGGAGCACCTGGAGGTCCTGGGGGTCCCATGGCTCCAGGAGGTCCCGGGGGGCCTGAGACAGTGAGCGTTGATGACCCCTCTGCAAACAGAAGATACAGGAAACAATGAGCTCCGCTCTTCTCGCTCAGAGGTGTTCGACCCAAGACAGGCTGTGGGCTGCGAAGGCTCGAGTTTCTTCCTCTCCTCACACCTAAACTTTCCCCCTTCCCTCACTGCTAATCCAAAGAGCTCACAGCCACATCCTGTCCAGAGCACCATGCCTGCAGACTGGCACTTCTTGGAAGGCAGAGCCAGGGCAGGTGCCCAGCACATGAGAGAGAAAGACACAAGAAGAAGGGTCCCTCCCAGACCTGCATACCTGAAGTCACGATCCTGCCTGGTGCTCCTGGTTCACCTGGGAGGGAATGAAGAGGAGGAGAATGGGTGTTTCAAGGATCAATTAGTGGCTCCATAAATTATTTTCAAGGCTTCTGATTGCATTTGAGACCCACCCCCGGGCCTCTCACTCTTGGGCTAAAGGCATTTTAATGAACTGCAGGGGAGCGTGCAGGATGCATTAAGCATGGGTTTCTCATCCATCTTTGCCCAGAGCAGGGGCTGCAGTGGGGCACGTGGGAAGCTTTGCCTTTCCGTGAGGCCAGAATAAGGATAGCCTGAGAGCCGCTCATGCTCCCACATTCCATCTCCTCTGCTGGGGAATTGCCCAAAGTGGGAAAATTACCTAAAAGTCAAAAGACAGGGGCGGTGAGCCACAAGGTAGATCAGGCTTCCCACAGTGTTCCTTGGGACAGTTGTAGGGGCTGTGCAGAATTTAAAGGGGGCTCTGCGCTTGGTAAGTCTGGGAAGTTGTGAGTTACATGCAGGTTAGCAGTCTTCTGCCTTGTGTCTCAGAGCATGGAAAATGCAAAAGTGCATGGAGGACTTTCAAGAAGTGGACATCAGATTCATACATTCCCAAACTTATCAACCACTGAATGCATCTCTCAGAACTAACAATCTGGGGACTGGCTTAGGGAAATCATCTTTTAGGGTCTACTTTTTTCACTTTCCAAGGTCTGTGAGCAATGATGTCATTCACATGATGAAAGGATGACACTGATTTCCCCCTTGAGGGCAGCAGAGGGGTGGCCTCTGCTCACTACCCCAGTTCTGGGTCAAGGCCAAGATAGGAGAAAGCCCTGGAGTTTGTCTTGTTGGACATCCAACATTAGGTACAACATCCATTCCTGTGCACCTTGTCCAGGGAGGGTCTGAAGTCTACCTTGGACGGGAAGTCATGGGTCCTGGAGAACCCTCAGGAATCCCCAAACCAGGAGACTCTATTAAAGGTATCATCTACCCATGACCAGATTTATGGGCCCAGAGACTTTTCTGCCTGGGATGTATGAACTTGGTTGTCGTCATTCTGGAATTACATTTACTTATCCCTAAAGAACTCCTTGGCTCAACTGGTCACTGGGAATAGTTTCTGGAAAGTAGTTATTTTAGGGTCCCACCGAGGGTGGCAGTGACTGCTCATGACAAAGCATGGCTCCATAGTGTGTCGGGTTCAGGAGCATGGGGTTGCAGGGACAGAAGGAGAAAGACCATCCCTGAACATTGTGTATCCCTGGACTTGCTCAGGGTCGGGGGCTGAGGGGCAGAACTGGACAAGAGTGTCACCATGTTGCCTCACCAGACCACCCCACGGATTATTTCCCCTTTTAGTACTTGGACTTGCTCTCTTAGTAGCACTTAACACCCTTCTTGGCCCATATTGGAGCCACCTCTTAGGAAGGATTTGGTGTACTCAGTTACATCAAGGTCACATCACGTGAAAGAACGTCCCCGGAGAAGAGACACGTTGTTGGGGACCAAGCAATAATGGGGGCATTTTAGAGGCAAACCAGGGGGTGGAAAGACAGCACCTTTCCAGGTCCTCCTGCAGCAGTGGCCTAGAGACACCTGGGCATGAAAGTGGGTCTCAGGGTGTCGGGTGGGGAGGAATGTGGGGTGGGGTTTGGGGGTTCAGACTTCTGTCACTCAGCACAAGTCCCGCAGTACCCAGCCTCACAGCCTTCCACTGGAGCCACTAGATGCCACTGTTGATCCAGGCTCCTGCCAGAGAGGGGCCTCCCTCCCTCCCTCTCCCTTCCTGCAAAAACCGAAGGATATCGCATTTGGAAAATCACTTACCTTTAGTCCCTGGTCGGCCAGGAGAACCAGGAAGTCCTGATGTGATTCGAAACAAGTCAGTCAGAATAAGGAAGGCCCAGCAATTCCAGACCCCCAGGGTGGCGGCCTGAGCTCTGTCACCCAGCACAGCCACAGCTGCCGGATGAAACCCTGAGACCCACCCGCTCTGTTTCCACCTCAGTCCAGGCCGTCCCTGGCCCCTGGGGAGCTTCTTGCCCCGAGCCCTTGCCCCTCTCTGGGAAGTGGGGCAACAGCTGGGCTTGGGGGTGGGCTGAGGCCCCCTGGGCTCAGCTCTGGGGGGATGCCATCCACGGGCCTTAACCCCATGGGCCTGCAGAGTTGGGCCAGCTCCTGTGCCCAGTGTAGCGCCACCTTCCTGCCTTGATTACTGAACTGTCCCCTGAGAGTATCTGAAGGATGCCACTGTGTGTCCAACGGCAGGGGCCCGCAGCTTGATTTCATTTTAAATCTTTGCCTGATTTCCTTCAGGAAATGAGGGGCTGGGTGTGATGACAATTTCTCAAATCCAAAGGGGGGCACACTGGTCCAACTTAGGACAGGCTTTAACACGGAGGCTGTCCCAGGGAAACTGGGCCTTCCCGAACGGGGGTGAGTGTCCATGCCCTGCCCTGCCAGCAGGGACTTCGGGCCTCCATGGGGCTAATGGAGCTCCCGGGCGGGCTCGGGGCCTCCCTCGGGCTTCTTACACCAGAGGGGAATGGGGCACAGGCAGACAGAATCGGCACACACCTCATTTCTAGTAGAATGGTGTTCTGGACTGTTCTGTGCCTATTTTACCTACCTAAGGTGCCTCTCAAGGCACAGAGAAAGGGGTGTTTGCCGGGGAGTCGGGGGAGGAGAAGAAACTCTTAGTGACTGCAGGAGCAGCACTGGCCAACAGCCACCCCAGGAGGTCGTGGGCGGTGTGGCGGGTGGGAGTGACCCAGTGACTCACCCTGAGGTCCCTGGGGTCCAGTGAGACCTGCAGAAAATCAGACACAAGAAAGAAGAGCTGAGGGGCTGAGGGCCGGCCCTGAGGAGCCACACCGTCCCCTGCAGGGGCAGCAGGTGGTCCTGGCAGAGGAGGGGCGGTGGGCACAGCACATGCCTCACACGGGGCAGCTGGACTCCAGGCTCCTCCCAGCTCTGGACGGAGAGCGACCCTCTGGGCTGTGCAGCGAAGCCACCCCCTGCTCCATCGGGCAGTGGTTCTGAGCCTATTTGGGTTCACGGACCTTTTCGGAATCTGAGGGGAGCCCGGAACCCAGGGTGCTGGCACACTCCCTCCGAGCTCCCGTCTGGCGCCAGCCACGGAGGCAGAGGCCCCCTGGACGCCTGCCTCGACTGCTCAGCTTTCTTGGCTGGTTTTGGTTTGTTCTTCCTGCAGCCCTGAGAAATCTGCCCTTGTTTGGCCTTGGTGGAGACTTGTCGCCGTCCCTCACTAACAGCTGGTCAAGCAGATCAGAGTGATCAGAGTGCAGATGTCACATCCCAAGGGGTGGGATTAAACTCTTCCAGGGCTTGGCGCTGAACGCCTGGCCCTCTGAGGTTTTGGTCGGCTTTTACAGCTGGGCTGACAGACACCTTGGTAAGGGCCAGCCAGGGGGTTAAAACCTGGATCTGGCTGTGAGACTTGCCCTGGGAGGCCTGGAATACCCCGGGGTTCCAAGGCACCTCAACATTGTCTGTGTCCACGGGAACCCACAGGCAGACTCCAGGGTGAATGGGCCATGCCCTGCCAAGTCCTCCCCAGAGCACGAGAAAGCCTCCGGGTACCTGCAGCTCTCCCAGCCCCGGGAGGGCTGCCCAGACCTGGAAATGGCCTAAAAGGGAGACTACACCAAGGGTGGGCAAGTCAGAAAGCAGGGTAGACAGCTCTGGAAGGATCTCTCCAGAGCCGTGATGACCATTTGAATGGGGCAGACCCCCTGCATCCGTTCCTTTGGGACACTTACCCATCGCTCCTTTAGCCCCGGGCTCCCCCACGGCACCAGGCAGACCTCTCATGCCAGGCTGGCCTGCAAAGGACAAGGACTAGCTGGTGGGACTTGCAAGCTATGTGTGCTTCATCATGGTAGCTCGTCTCCCAATCCTCCCCAGCCCCTGCCAAGCCCTGCCCTCCCTAGCCAGCTTCTGCTTTGATTCCAGGGTCAGGGGCCCCCGGCTCTCCTGGGCAGCGGGCATGGGCTGACCCAGAAACCATGCCTGACCTGAAGGGGCATGTGTATGAGTTTTGGTTCCCTGGAAAGGAAAGCTACCCCTTGTTGTCAAAGCATTATGACTGTCAATTTCCTTTTTAATCTTGCAAGTTGGCAGGAGGTCAGTGGCTGAGAGGATACAAGTGGTGTACACTTTCTGCTGCTTTGGGAAGAGATTGCTTTTCCTAACTGGATTCCCCAAAAGAATCAGGGACAGCCCTGAACTCCCCATTTCTCCCATTTACTGTTCAGACTACATACCATGTTTCCCTGAAAATAAGACAGGGTCTTATATTTATTTTTCCTCAAGAAGACACCCTAGGGCTTATTTTCAGGGGATGTGTTATTTTCCCCTCAAAGCCTCAGCTTGCAGCCCGCACAGGATGGCCGGGACCTGACAGGGGGAGCCGACCTTGTTGGTGGGGCTGCCCGCACCTTTCTGGTCACCTCTGGGATAGTAGCTGTCACGACGGGGCAGATGAGAAGGGCTGCTGGTCTTTTTTACCGCTCCGCAATGAAATGCATGGGTTGTGCAGATACATTGCGTAGCCACACCCATCACTAGGTCTTATATTTGGGGCAGGGCTTATATTGCGCAAATGCTTAGAAATCCTGCTAGGGCATATTTTATGGGTAGGTCCTATTTTCAGGGAAACATGGTATTTGGATGCTTCTGTATTATTCACTCAGGGCTTTACTTTTTCTTGTGCTTTTTCTAGAGCACAAGTTCCCGAAGGTTTTTAGATGGAGACTCTGTCTCATACTTCTGAATTTTCCCCATCTCCAGTGACTGATGGATTTACAAAAAGTCATGAATGGATTAAAGTTGATTCCTGTGTAGGGCTCACCTGTGAGGCCTCGGGGTCCCTTCTCTCCCTGGTCACCTAAAACAAACACGGGGAGGGGAGGAGGAAGCAACGGTTGTGAGCAAGGAAAACAATCTCACCCAGTAACAGGCCCCCTGGCTGAGGGATGGTTCTCACTGCGTGACGTTGGCGAGAACACGGCAATAATGCAGATCGGACGCGGCTGAGGAGCACCACAGTCCATCTCTGGCGCTCCCAGCCACTGACCCCGGCCCCGGCTGCTGCACAAATGGATGCCATGGGCAGAGGGAGGCCCAGACTAGAGGACACACCTGGGAATGCTGCATCCTCACCACCCCAGGACCACCAACCACAGCCATGTGACATCGACACTTGTTTCCCTTCTTTGTGCCCCACTGCCCTGAGAGGATGGACTGGAATGAGCTCTTAGGTCCCTCTCAGAGTCCCTCTGGTTCTTAGCCAGAGCCCTGTGCATGTTGGACCCTGTGGCCAAGGGCCCAGCTGGGCTCTCAGGAGTGAGGTAGACCACGGTGACGACCAAGTAGGCAGCATACCTTTGGGTCCTGGTGGTCCCATTGGTCCTTTGTCACCTGAAAAAGAAGTGGACACCTCGGTATAAAGAGCCCTGGGGGTAAAAAGCCCTTCAGGAGATGACCAGGAAGGGGCAATGTCTGACTCTGAAGACAGGGTCCCCCACCCTCACCTCACCTACCCCTCTCACACCTGTCAGCCTGCACAGGCTGTGGGTCACTTCCATCAGACCCTCCCTGTCCCCCCAGACCTCCTCCCCCAGCTCACCTTTGACACCAGGGAGTCCCACTTCACCTCGGAGCCCTTGGAGACCCATGGAACCTGCCAAGCAGAGGAAACCATGCAGGTAGATGAGTGTCCCCAGTCTTGGAAGGGATGGATATACATGCACACATATGCACACACATGCACACACAGGGACATGTCCCTGCAGTGAAATCAAGGGCTGCTTCCCACAGATCCTCCCCCAGTCCCCGCTGAGTCGTCCTGGTCCGGGTGCCCAGCCCCTGCCAGTGACCAGGCATCAGAACACCCGGAGAACCTCGGCAGAAACATTCGCTGCAGCTCAAGCTTCCCAAGACAGCAGGAGGAGCTCTGTGTCCACAGGGGACGATGCAGAGGCAGACACCGGCTCAGAGGAAGGCAGAAAGGTACTTCCTATTGCTGAAGCCACTGGAGGGTCTCAGACCTTGAGCCAGGTCAGAGTGGATCTGGACGGGACCCACTGCGGGACCCAACCTCAGCCACAAGGGACATATATGCACAGACTGGAGTTTTGTGTCTCCAGGAGGCTGTCTTTACAACTGCTTCTTTTGCTTTAAAAATGCTTGGTTTTCCTTATAACGTCCCTTGCTTTGTCCCAGAAATAGCACCTATTTACAAGAAGCAGCACACTGACCTGGGGGGCCCTGTGGGCCAGGAGAGCCGCTGGAACCTGAGAAGGAGGACAAGATAGCAATCAGCAGAGGGGCAGGGACAGGCCAGGGCACCTGACCCCCTGGGGAAGGGCAGGTGGGGCAGCACGGGTTCTTGGCAGGACCCCAAACAAGTGCGCCAGGAGTGACCCAGTGCAATGTCCTGGGAGGAGGCTGAAGCTGGGGTAGATCAAGAGACCCCTTACTCCTTCCTGGTCAAAGCAAGACATGTGGGCTGGGGCAGGGGTCAGGAGGAGAGGTGACCAGATGGACATTGCACTGTGATAAGGGGCCCGTCCGTCCTCCCTGGGTCATCAGACATGTTGCTTTCAATATGTGCATCTGGGCCCCAGCGAGTCAAAGAAATGATCTGACTTCTGATTTCCTGAATGATCCGTCCACCCACTGAGGGATCACATTATGGGGCCAAAGAGAAACATGGCTGGGCTTATGTTTAAAGTTAAAGCCCCACTTTTGATCCCACTCCCCCTATCAGGGACGCTTTTGTCGGGGGATGTTCTCTGGACCCACCACCCCTGCACAGGCCTGGGCAGTGGAAAGGGCCTCCTGGGATTGTGCCTGCGCGTGGCCCCTCCCTGGCAAACTTGGGCACTGTTCCAGGCACTTACTTACCTTTGGGACCCACGGAACCTGGGACACCAGGTGGGCCCGGAGGACCCGGCTCCCCGGAATCTCCTGAAGAGGAAAGGAGGAGTGAGTATGTTGAGAGACCCCCCAGTGTGGCTGCCCGCCTGCTGGAGGTCTCTGATCCGTTTGGTGCCTCTGTGAGGGCACCTGCCAGCAAAACTCCTGCAGTTCCTGCCCCCAGAGCCTCTGTATCCCATGAAGTCTGGCACCTAATGGGACTCAGTAAATATTTGTTGCTTGGTTGAGCAATATTTAAAGAGAAGGTAAAACTAAAAATAAAGCTTCTTGCTCACAGTCCGCTGGCACTGAGAGGATTTCTGGTGTCTCGTTGGTTCCCCTGATGGAAGCGGTCTCACAGTTCAGGATTGGACTGTGACACACCTGCCCAGCCCCCTCCGTGCTGGGCTGCGACTGTCCGGTGCTGCCTCTAACTCCCATCCTGCCTTGCTCCAGCCAGGAGAGGCTTGAAGGCCTGCCCCCCAGCCCACTTCCACACGAAGCCCTGCCCTGCCCTCTGCTCCCCACCCTGGCCTGACTCCTCACGCCCCTCACTCTGGGGAGGCCACTTCCCCCGCGGCCACTTTCCCCGTGCACTGTGAGCATTGCACACTGGTCCCTGCCCCAGGCCTGGGCCCCATCCTTAGACTGCTGTCTCCAGGGCCCAGCACAGCCCCTGGCTCAGGGCGGGTGCTCAGCCAGTGCTCCCGAAGGCAGGGGCGAGGGAGGGAGATGGAAGGAAGGAGGGGCAGGCATGGCAAAGGAATCGCCTCTCACCTCTGTCTCCTTTCTCTCCAAACCCAGGAGGCCCTGGTTCACCGCGAGGTCCCATGGGGCCTTCTCGCCCTCTCTGGCCCATGGGCCCTTCCATGCCGGGATCTCCTACAGACAGGAACGGCCAAGCTCAAAGTTAGGATCTGGTGCCACGGCCAGGGGTGCCACAGGTAGCCTCCGCAGCAGAGCACTCCCCTGGGGCCTCTTCCCTGGCCTCCCTGCTTCTCTCCTGGCCTCCGTAGCCTCAGCTCAGAGTTACCCTTTGGAAATGTAGGTGGATCATGTCCCGCCTCTGCCCTGGACCTGCAGATGGCTTCTCAAATCCCTGGAAGTCAAAGCTGATGTCTCCACCTCAGCCTCCCCTGGGCCCAGCTCCCGTGCCTGCTCCTGCCTGCTGCCCTTGAACTGGCCCTCGGGGCCTGGCCTCCGCTGCTCCCTCTGCCCGAAATGTGCTCCCTAGACCCCCTCAGCCGGGCTCCCTGTCTCCCTTCAAGACTTCACTCAAATGGCAGCTTCTCTCGGCTCCTCAGCACACACTCCCGAAGTCCCTGCGGGCTCAGTCTGTCCACTTCACGCATCACCTCCTAACCGGCCATCTTTTCACTAATTCATCACACTTGCTATCTTTCTCCCCCACCCCAGTGGGGCTTTCTCTGTTTTGTTCCCTGACGTCTCCCCAGTGCCTAAGGGAGGGCCTGGTACACAGCAGGCGTCATAGGTGTTTATTGAATGAATAAAAGAATGAAGAGATAAATGAATGGAAAAAGCTGTCCTTACCCACGCTGCCTTTCTGTCCCTTTGGTCCTTCTGGACCTGGGCGGCCCAGGGGTCCAGGGACACCTGTGGATACACAAGAATACTTCAGCCCTATGTCCCTTTGGGAAGCTGGCAGCTAGGACAAGAGCCCGCAATGCCAGCAGCAGCAGAGGTCACGGGACAGTACACACCTGGGATCCCAGGGAGGCCTTGGTCTCCTGCGGGAACAAGGGCGAAAGAGAGAAGTCAGCCAGGGGACCCTGCCCGATTCCTCACTGGCAGGATGCAGGTAGGTTGCTACATTTGGCAAATAAATATACAGATGTCCCAGTACATTTGAATTGCAGACAAATAATATTTTTAGTATAAGTATGTCCCAGGAAACATTTGGGACACACTTACAGTGAGAATTATTTGTTGTTTTTCTGCAATTCAAGCCTAACGGGGAGTCCTGCATTTTATCTGACAACTGCAGGTTCAGGGGCTCTGGGAGCATCAGTCCCCGTCCCCGGCACAGTCAAGAGGGGCATGGGCTGCAGGCTGGAGCCTGGGGGGAGGAGGGTTGGGAGAGGGGGCATGGGGCAGTGCCCCAGGGTGTGTGGGGGCAGGAGGATGAAGAGAAGTGGAGGGCCGCTACCCCCGAGAAATCCACTCCCTGCCCTGGGTATCTTGGGAAGCACAGGGGAGCTGGGCAGAGGGGATCCCCGTCTTCTTGGTGGTTCTCAGTATGGTTCTGGTACTTTGGTGACAGAATCACCTGGGCGATTACGATCAGACACCTGGCTCTGCCCACACCTGCTGAACCAGAGGCTCCGAGACTGGGCCCAGAATCTTCTGGGGTTCTTGTACACACTGAAGTTTGGTCAAGGAGGGCTGCTCTGTGTCCAGCCGAGGTCACTGGGTTTGGAAACCTCTTCCTGCCTATGCGCCGGTCCCATTGATTTCAAATCACTTTTCAGAGTGTGAGGTGGGTTTTCTGACACTTGCCGATTGGTTGAAACAAACCATCCACCCTCACTAGTATTTAAGGTAAAAAATTTCCGTATTATATTTACCTTTAGGGCCTTGACTTCCCATGTCACCTGAAACCAGAAAGATTAGGAAGCTGTGGGATAGGGTAAGAACCCAAGGGCCATTGCCTCCCTAGTATTTAAAAACCACGTGACCATATGTAAACAGTGTTTCGAGGTGAGGCCACACTGCGGTCTGGGGCTGTGTCCTTGGGCTCGGTGCTGGGCCTCTCTTAGTGCTGCCGTAGGTCCCTTCCCATTCTGAGATATTCTGACTCCAAAGCCAACTCTCAGCCCTCCCAACAGACACTGTAAGATCAGCTTCTCATCCTTCCATCTGGAAAAAAAGTTTTCCAATACACCGGCCTCCAACTGCAGGAAATGAGCACAGGGAAAGCTTGATCCACCATAATACCTTTCGGGCCAGGGCTTCCTCGGAGATTTCCTGCAGGAGAAAGTAAATCCCAAGTGAGTTTCACATCTTCCAGTGTCCCTCACACGCACATAGGAAGGGGGTCGTGGCATGGCGGGAAGAAACAGAGGCAAAGACTGGGAGTCAGATTCTAAATTGGGCTAGTCCACTGACGCTGGGCAACTCTTCTCTCCAGGACTCAGTTTCTCCAGCAGTCAAATGGGACCACAGCCCTGGTCTTACCCTCCTCTCAGGGCTATCGAGAGGTGGGGAGGAGGAGAGGGGCTGGGAGCGGGTGGAGCGGTGCCCACAGCCTGTGCGCACAGGACCTCGCGACCCGGGCGAGCGGGCCCTGCGCCCCGCAGTGCTCTCACCGTTCTGCTGCTCTGTCATGAGCTTGTCGCGCACGAACAGCCAGATGGCCTCCTGGCTGTGGCCGTTCAGCCCGCTTTTGCTCAGGTCCCAGCCCGCGCCGGGCGCCGCGCCCTGCAGGCGGTCCTTGCTGCTGCGCTCCATCTTCTCCTGGAAGGACAGCACGTCGCCCCGGGCCGACTCCAGCTCGTCCACGCGGGCCTTCAGCCTCCTCACCTCCTCCGCTGCAACGCGACACAGGCGGCGTCAGCGGGCGGGGGACACTTACGCGGATACAGTCTCTGTGGCCACCAGCAGGATGGGAGCCTTAAAGAAGGCTGGCCGGGTCCCCTCCCCTGCGCGGGTGGCCGAGCTCCCCCCACTCTCCCTGGGAGGCGGTGTGGGCGCCCGCTGGCAAACAGAGGTGGGGGAAAAGCAGAGGGGCTGAGCCAGCCCTGGCCTTAACATCAAAGGTCACTGAACAACGAGCGCCCGGCGGGAAGCCTCAGTTTCCCCCTCCGCACAAACGAGGTACCCAGAGCTCGTACCCAGAGCGATGAGGCCGAAGAGCAGCCCCAGCAGCAGCAGCCAGGTGAGCAGCAGGCCCAGCAGCCACTTCCACCAGCTGCAGCAGGAGCCGCAGGGGCACCAGGCTGGCGCTACCCACGGGCCCCCGCCGCTGCCGCCGTGGTGGCCGTAGCCATGAAATTCTGTGGGAGAGACAGGGCGGTGAGGCAGATGCAGGCGGCTCCTGCCCTTCTCCCTGCAAGTCCTCCGGCTGCAGGTGACTTCCAGTGGGCCCGAGTGACTGAGTGGGGCTTTTCGAGTTCCTGCGCAGCTCGGGCTGGGGCTGGGGCACAGCAGAAGTCTGTGGGACGCCGCGAGAGGGTCACTCGACCTGTTTCCTTTTTCATAAAATGGGGTTAAAAGATGACCTACTTCCTAGGGTGGCAGGTGAATGAGACCAGGCGAGGAAGTAGTTAGCAGAGGATGTGGCTCACAGCACGAGCTTAACGTCTCCATTAGGGAGATTCCGACTCTGCCACCTGCCTCTGATGAGGTCCAGATCTAAAGCTCCCCCTCGCCACGCCTCAGTTCCCACAGCTGCTCCCTGTAATCCCCCCATGCCTAGAATAGCACTCAGCGCTTGGGGGCTGCCCATAACCTTCTTCTTCTTCTTTTTTTTTTTTTAATGAAAAGGATTTTTAGGTCCCTAAGGCAGGGCAGTAAATGTTGACCTGCTTCTATGACAGGCTGGGGAGAAGTGAGGAAAGGGTGCAGGGCTGGAGGTGTGCGGGCTGGGCGTCCTCTGCAGCCCGGCTCCGAGGCTCTGTGAAGATGCACGGCAGCCCTGCCGCGCTGCTCCTGCCCCAACGCGGGCCTGAGAGTCCACAGCGGGCGCTAATTAGGGGTGGCAGGGCCTGTGAAGCACCGTCCCTGAGCCAGGCCCCTTCTACTGCCACCTCCAGCCAGTAGCCTGCCCTCTGCCCACTCCCTTCTGAGCCATTAGGGAAACTCTTTAGAGTTGGGTGGCTCAGGTGGCTCGTGTGTGCACTGGTTCTAGGCAAGGAGCCCTCGACAGGTCCATTAACCATAAGTAGCCCTGTGTTGGATCTTGTCACTGCAGGGTCCGCCCTTCTCACCCACCTGCAGAGGTGTCCTTGCCCTTAGTGGACACAGTCTTCAGGTCTCCTGAAAGACAAACACCAAGAACACAGGTTTGGACCTGAGCTTTTAAACTGGAGGAGCCCACAAGACTCCTCCAGAGGGGTGCCTCACGTTGATTTTGGTAGAGCTTTAGGTAACTATGTCCCCCAGGCACTTTGCAAAACAACAATGCGCAGAAACATCCACTCACTGGGTCCTCCCTAACCTGCTCTTTGCAATAATTACATAGATGACATGGCTTGGGAAAGAATTAATGGTGGACGAAAGCAGTGTTTTAACCCCCTTGTGACCTTAAACCTTTAAACCCCAAAATGGTTTTGGAAGAGCGTGTTAGGGGTGCCATTTGCATTCAAACAATAAATGTGCTTGTGAGAAATGACTCCAATTTCTTGGTTCGGGGACTTTGGACACAGGTTCCTAACCTGGGGTGGAGGGATCTGGGAGCGGCAAGAACGGACTTGGAGGAGGGTTGTCCGTGCGTCACTGATGCAATGTGAAAATGGAGTGTTTGTGGGCGTGTGTGGAATTTTCTGGGAAATTTTTCTATAGCTTTCATCAGATTCTGAAAAGAGTTTCTAGACTGCACTGCCCCTGGCTCCACTGGAAAAATGTAAGGAATTGCTAACTTCAAAGACTTGGAGTCTGGTTCAAATCTCCCACCTTGTCAAAATGGTAACTGATTTAATTTGCATTGATTTAAAAACATTCTATGACTTAATTTTCCTCATCCTTTACTCACCTCTCTGAAATCAATGATTTGGAGAGAGTCTAGTCTATAGGACCTTCTGAAGAAATGTGGTTATCCAAGAAAGAATCCAGGTATTTGGGAAGGGGAGGGCAGAGGAAAGCTAACAAGTCTCACAGAGCATTTTTCTATTAGTTCTGAAAATTATGGGAGAACCATCAAGGCAAGAAAAAAATCATTGTAGACACACCAGAGGAAGGCTTTTGCTTTTCTAACACACTCCAAGGTGTTGCCCATGTGGCTGGTCCGTGGACCACACTTTGAGTTGCAAGATCTCAGAAGACAAAGAGATGAAATGTACATTGGCTGAAGTCAAGATTAATGTTGATTATACTTGTTCTTACCATTAGCTTCAGCTTTTAGGTGGGAGTCAGCATTGTAGGCAGCTTGCTTTTCTTTTTTTAGGGTGTCTTCTGAAAAGGAAGCTGTGCACAGAACCCATGATAATCTGATATATTCTCTCCACAACCTGCCTTCTCTATCCCTCACCTCCCAAGGTCAAGGTTAGCCTGGTCAGAAGAGAGCTGAGCTTTCCTGGGGTTCATCTCTGCCGATCTGTGCCTATAGTTAGACTTGCTGTTGGCCAAAGACCCCTCTGGGAACCCTTCATCTGAATTTTTCTGGCTCCTTTGCATTCAAGGCAGACCTTGTGGTACCCTATCCAGGTCGTCATTTTTCATTAGAATGGGACAGCTGTGGTTTCATGATTAAAATGTGTCAAACTAGCTTGCTAGGACATTCGGTCTTCTGCACTATTTGCCTGCCTTCTGAAACCTGAGTCACAAGGGCTCAGACGTACTTGAAGCGATGCTGGCGGGGGAGGCAGTGAAGACCTTCCCGCTGTCCTTGCTCATGATCAACAGTTCCATCTCCTTCTTGGCGGGCACGTTGTCCTTCTCCAGGATCAGGAACTTACAGTCCTTGTGCAAGAGGTCATCACTCTGGACACTGGTGGTGCAGGCTGGGGAGGAAAAGAGTGGGTGAGGGGGAAGGAAAAGGTGCCAGGAGAAGGGAGAGGGAAGAAATGCCCAGAAGAGGAAGGAGAAGAGAGAGGAGGGAGAGAAAAAATGCAGGTGCATATGAGGGTCTCCTATTCTTGCAGACAGTGGTGGGGGCCCAGGCTTCCCTCCCTGCCTGGCTGGGCCTGGCCACCAAGAGGTTGGGGCAATGTCAGAAGCTCTGGGTGGCTGGGCTATAGGGCTGCCACCCTATCTGGAAATTATAGGTCTTTACTGAGTGGGTAAAAGTCCCCCTTGTCAGACGGGTCCTACCTGAACTGACTCAGTGGGTTTATCTTTATCCTTCAGGTTTTAAGTGTTACCTTCTTGGGAGGCTTTGGCTTGCCACCAAAAGCCCCCACCCCATAAACACATTGCTGTCTCTATCACATCGCTCATTGCTTTCCTTAAAAATCGATGTCATTTTCTGTAATTATCTTTACACTCTGTCTACATGTTTGTCATCTGCATTCCCCATGGGTGTGCCAGCTTGGCGAGTGCAGGAATAGATCCTGTCTTGTTCACTGCTGTATGCCCAGCACTTAGAACAGTGTCCATCTGACACAAAGTAGGTGCTCAGTAAATATTTGCTGAATAAATGAATTGTTGAATGGAAGGAAAACATACCAGGATCAGAGCAATGGAAAAAGTAGCTCGCCATGTGGTGACATGGTGTGTGGACCAAGTCATATAGATTATGTAGAAAACAGGGAGGGAGCTAGAAGCTTTTTGAGGGGCTCCCTGGCTCTTGTGACAGGGTACAAGTAACAGGTGAAGCCAAGGGCTTAAAGGGTGGAGTGCAAGTGCATGGCCCCAGGCAGGTGTGGAGGGTGGAGCTTCCTGCCCTCCTTGGACAGGTTAGGGGACACTCATGTCTGTTCACTCTTGGAAACATCCATCAGACCTTGGGGTAAGTTGCATTTGTGGACCTAAGACCCTCCCATGGTCCAATTCTGTCTTCTAATCTGCCATGTGTCAGGGCAGAGTAATTCTCCCTGCAGCAGGAAACAACACTCACCGGCAGATGTGGACACGCCGGTGTTCACAGCAGCAGGGCTCTGGGGCACGTTTTTCTTCACACCATATGCTGCTGCCATTGCTGTTGGAGAGAGAGAGAGAGAGAGAGAGACAGAGAGAGAGACAGAGAGAGAGAGAGCGCACCGAGTGAGTGAGTGGGGCAGCAGGGAGGGCCCCGTGGCTCAGGAGTAGCCCATTCAGCCCAAGCAGGGAGAAGTGGATGATGAATCAACTCTCTCCATCCCCCATGGGCAGCAAGGAGAGTTTAACTGGAACGTTCTTAGTCCTTACCCTAGACCCTCACACATCTCCTTCCCTTCTGTGTTTCCCCCTTCCCAAGTTTGCACAGGGGCCATGTCCTGGGGGGGTATACCCTAAAATCAAGCAGGTGATTGATTTGCAGTGACAGCAGGCTGCCAAGGACAGCAGTGTGCTGGCAAGACCACCAGGCTGATCAGCTTGGCTCTGAGTGATGCAGGAACACACAGGTGACACCCCCCAGGGCGCAGGTGCTGTCCACAGTACAGCCTCTGCTGTGTGTCTGACTCATGTTCAGAGCCAGCAAATGACCAAGGTTGGCATCTCTAAGGTGTGTTGGGGGGGGAGTGCTGTTTCTTTGGTGGGAAGGGTTGATTTTGGTCATGGGTATTTTGGTCCTTCTAATTCAGTTGCTGAAAAGGGATACTGTCAGTTACAGCTGCAAAGAGGTGTCCCTTCCCAGCCCCTAAGCTCCAAACCTAGGCTACCAACCTGTGGAAGTGGTGGCTGTGCCATGGGACAGGGCAGGTGAACTGGGGGCCAGATTGTTCTGCATGCCGAATACTGTGAAAGCAATAAGGACAGGTGAGTACGGGGTGCACAGAGGATGCTCTTTGGCTTAAGGTGGCCCCTGGAGTCCCCAAACTATGACGAAGGCCTTTGCAGATGACAGAAATTCCCCAACTTTCTGTTCCCACACTCTTAGTGACACAGTAATTTTTTTTTTTTAATGCCCCCATCTTCCTGACCTAGGCCAAAAGTTACTAACAGGTCCACACAACTTAAAAGCAACAGTTCACACAGAGTCTGACAGATATGGCCATCTCTCTCTCAAAATTTAAAAACATCCTAGGGCTCCCTGTTCCCTGTGGCACCTGAGTGCCCAGTGTAGGAACCGTGGGCTTTGGGGGCTGAGAGGCAAGACGTTGGCCTAGTGACTCCTAGTTTTCCCTGTAACCCTTTCTTCTCCTGACTCAAACACATACAACTCCCCTCACCTCCATCACGATTTTGAAGGTCCCTTGTTTATTTGATTGCCTGCTTGTCTTTAACGATGTGCAGAAAAGCTCATTCCTCCCTAGTCAGCAGCTTCTGTTATTAATATTCCATCCTGTCCAGTGTTTAGGGACAAGATCATGGGTCAGATATCAGCCCATCTTCCCTCAGAGCCTGGCTTAGTCAGGACATTGCAAAGCAAAATAGCAGAGATGGAAGAAACAAAGCATGAAGCTGATGTCTTCTGGGTTTGGTAGAATTCTAGTCAGCTGGAGGTGAGTGTTGAAAATTTGAATGCTAACTTTGCACTTGTAGCTATATCAGCCAAGAAAATAAAGAGGGCCCACATCATTGTATTTATTAGTCACAACAGCACAGGGAGAAGGCAGATTCCTTTTTTTTTTTTTTTAAAAAAAAAAGGATGTGAGCTGGTAACTTATTTACATATAGGCTCTTATGGTGTATGTAGAAACATAGTGAATAGATATTTCTTTAAAATTGTTGTATGTTTGCTTTGGAAGATAACCAGTAACATTATTTACCCCAATGGAGTTACTCCAATACTATGTTTATAAAAAGATCTGATAGTAGTTACTCCAATGAACTTGTTCCTAAAAAGATCTGAAACAAGATCCTTCTAACTTAACAGTGCTTTTCAACCCAAAAATGTCCTAAACTATGACTTACTTAACCCCTTTACTTCCATTGCTCCAACTCTTCTAGAAAATGAGGGTACCAGCACAGAATGTGCACACCAGTGTGGGCTCAGGTCCCCTCATCTTAGAACTTTGCCCTGGGGACTGAGTTTTCTCTGTGTTTGAGGACAGGCTTTGTCCCTTCTGCCTCCCAAATGCAGCCCCGTGGCCTCTGCTTCTGGGCTGCAGCGTGCGTGGAGGAAAGTTCTTCACGCTCCTGGGCAGAAAGGATGTGTCCTCCAGAAACCGTTCCATCCTCCCCAGCAGGAGACAGCATCCTGATATTGTTAAGCAAACAGCCCAGACAAGGTGACTCAAGACGGCGACACTGACCTGAGGAGCTGGTGCTGAGTCCAGGGTGCAGGGTGGATGAGCAGGACGCCATGTTATTCGGAACGCCGAAGACTGCAGGGCAGGGAGGAAGGCTGGTGAGAGGGATGCCCAGCCCAGAACAGGGGCAGGAATCCGATACTATGGGAGCGCCAGAGGAAATGCCAGGACTGAGTTTTTATATTTTAGTAAAGTTTTGGTTTTAGGAAAAACTTAGGTTCTTGCCTTGCAGCAGAGAACCACACGCTAGCCTGTGGTGCACCTGGGGTCATGGCTGGCAGGTGATCTCAGATCGGTCACACCTGAGTGGACAATGGGTCCAGCAGAGGCTTCCTTGTTAGTCACCCATTTTATAGAGAAGGTCCCTGAAGCTCAGAGAAGTTAAATGACTTGCTCAACGTCTCACAGTCAATTCACGTGGAGTGAAACCAGGTCTCTTACATCCCTTTTCAGTGTTCTTTTGTTATATTTTTTCTGGATACTCTGTGCTATATATTCCTTTCTGTAGGGGACCCACCAGAAGAAATACCTTCTAGATTTAATTGAACCGAAGTTCCCGTGGGAGACTCTTGGGAGGCCTGGCCACAGAGAACCTCTCCATGAAGCCCTGGGGGTGGTGAACAACCAAGGGGTCACCTAGCTCCAGGTAAAGGTGAGTGGAGTTGGGGGCAGAGAGGGGGGATGCGCTGCCTGTCACCGTACCTGAGCCTGTCGAGTAGGCGTTGGTGTTGAGGAGGGACGAGCTCTGGGTCGTCATGTTGTTGTGATAGGTCCCCAGGGAGGACCCCACGGGCAGGGTGGAGGACCACAGGTGGGAAGGAAGGTTGGCGTCCAGGATCGTTGCCTCGTAGGTGCCCGACACTGGAAACAGATAGACACACACACCTCAGTGACAGACACGCCAGCGCTTCCCTGACGGGGAACCTGGGACTTTCCTGGTGTTAGCACCGAAGGTCCCACTTCCCAGGAACTCCGTCAGGCCAGGGCAACCAGGGCCAGGTCTATCTGGAATCTCAGAGCTAGTAAAAACGTGATCTTTTGGGTTAGAAACTCTTGCTGGCTCTTGGTGAAATTAGAGGTAGCTAAATTTTGCCTTGGGGTCCACCCATGTCTCCTTCTAAGCTCAGCTCCCCACCTCCTGGCCGGCTGTCCCTCCAATGGGCTTCCTCCCAGCCAGCTGCCCACTGCTTCATCTTCCAAGAGGCCAGGGAGCAGCTCTCTCAGGAGTAGCAAGTGAGTCCCTGGAGCAAATCTCTTCCAGTGGAAGTCCAGGCCCCGCGGCAAGTGCGGGGTGCACGTCTGGGCAGGGGAGCCCTCAGGTCTGAGGCCACACCGCACAGATGGCAGCCTTCCCTGGTTTTACCCTCAAATTCCCATGTGCTGGCCAGACACAAGGGGCAGCGCCTCAGAGAGGGGATTTTCACACTTCCTCAAGTCTGCCGCCAGTTCCACCCGTTCATCCTATGGGAGGGAGCTCGTGCAGCTCAGAGGGTGCCCTGAGGTTTGGTTTTATGGTGAAAACAAAAAGGATTTTCTCTAGGAGTGAGTGAGAGGGGAGCTTCCTGTCCTAGCAGACCTGGCTTCTTCCCTCCTCTGCCTCCAAGGCCCTGCCAGTTCATCTTTCTGTCTCCTACCTGCTACATGGGCGCCTAACAGCTCTCATCCTATGTGACCAGGACCTCTTGGTTTCCTGACCTGCCCCAGAGACCCTCCTGTCCACAAGGGCAGTGACTGTGTCTCCTTTCCCAGTTGCTTGTGCTTGGCACAGAGGAGACATACAATAGGTATTCATTGAGTGAATGAATGAAAACACAGTAACTTTCCCCAATATTCTTCATCTGGGGAACCCAGTCAACACATTCAACTGGGAAGAAACTTGGGGATTTAGGGTGGGTGTCAGTGTGCACGTGGGATGAGTAACCAGCCAGGGGTAGGAAGGGCAGAGCCCACATTTTCATGCTGTCACAGAACAGACGCTCTGCTCGGAGCTTTGGAAGTGTCTGGCAAAGGCTGAAAGGCCTCCCGGGCACAGTTGAATGCCCAGGCTGGGGCAGGTCTGCCACCTTGTTCCCTTCCCTCCATGGGCTTACCTGACTGGGAGCTGGCTGTCACCGTTTTGGTCTCCACCGTGCCTTTCTTGGGGATGGGGAGTGTGTTGGAGGAATTCCGCGTGGGGCTCACGCTCGCCGATCTACTCCCCTTGAGCAAACGCTTAACATCATCCAACTCCGTCCCTGTGGAAGGATGCACAGACTTTTCTGTTAGGCCCAGGATTCTTTCCTGAGTTCCTCTGCAGTTGGGGGAACATTTGTGGCTATTCTGGAAACTAGGGAGGATGGCAGCTACTTCACACCCTGGGGCACTTTTGGTTAGCTTTATAACGTTTGCATTTGGCCAATTTATAGCACTTGTCAGCTTGGCACTTTGTCATATTAACAGCCTCATAAATATAGTCCCTCTCACAAGGAGGTCAAAGTCCTCGGGAGATATTTCCCAATTAGCCCTCATTAGACAACACAGAGATGGTTCTGTGGCTGGAAGGCACTGTCATTCAGGATCAGGCTGTCAGAGAACCCGGGCCCTGGCAACAAAAGGTTTGACAGTCGTCTCATTCCCTGTGCAGGATGCCTAGGATGTTGGGTCCCTGACCTTGTATGACTGGGACTGTCATACAGTGGCCCATCGCTCCTAAACATTATGCTGCCTTCGTATGTGATTTAATTTCAAGTCTGCCCGGCTGATCTGATTTGTAGCAAGGTGAACTAGTGGAGCAAGCTAGTGCCTCCCAACGTGGCAAGCAGGAGAGGAGGGAGGCATCGTGCAGGGCTGCGCGAAGAGTTGGACAGATTTGCAGACAACACTGCTGGAGGAACCCTGGCCTCTCCCCAACCTCTATAGCGCCATCCTTTGGGCTCAGCACCCCCAAGCCTGGAAGGACGTTGGACAAAGTGTCGGGCCTGGAGTCAGATCCCATGCCCCACGCCGAGCTCTCTGGGCAGGCCCCACAGCTGTCCCGAGTCGCCTGGCCCTGCTCTTTCTCCTCCTACCCCTTGTACTTGGCTCCTGCCCTGAAAGCTGAGTTCATTCCAAACTTTTGCAAATCACCTCTAACAAAAACAACAGAAGTTTAATGTTTTCCATGCACGGAGACTAGGGAGTCTCTGACATTTGAGGTAAAGCTCAGACTCTCATACTCGACTTCTGACCCTTCTCTTAATCTTAGCTGTCCTGTCGTGTCCCTGCCTGGACTGTTCCGCAGATGTCACGTGCTGGTTCATCCCTTCCAGCCTAACTGATCTGCCCGTCAGTCTCCCCCACGTGACACCCAACCCAGGACGGCCTCTCCGGGCTGCGGTGAAGCGGCTCCTCCGCGCCCCCTCATCGCGCTGCGGGGCAATGGTTGGTTGACTTCTCAGCTCCCCGCTAGACTGTGAACGGCAGGGCAGCGGGGACCATGGCCTACTCAGCAACTTAACCCCAGCACCCAGCCCAGCCTCTGCCTCACAGAAGGCCCTTAAAGATGTTTTATGATTGAGTGCACGCACATACACATAAACACACACACACACACACACACACACACACACACACACACACGGCATCAGCACTGGATTCCTGGGTCCTTTCTTTTTTTTCAGCAAGGTAGTGACCACTTACATCGGGTAGATGGGGACGAACTCTGCAGTCGAACTCGAATTTCACTCTCTGTGCAGGGAAAGAGATGGAAAAGGCTGTAAATGAAGGCGCTTGGATCACAGTGCCTGCCACTGAGCTCTGAGCTGCTCTGGGATTTCCAACATCCCACCTCCCCAGGCAGCCAGAGATTTTCCAGTAAAATCCCAGGAGCAGGGAGGTCCCAATACAATCAGCAATGACAACCCCCTTTCCCGTGTCTATTTCATAATGGCCGGAACCAAGCTTCTCTCCTGCCTCTGTGGTCTCTCAGACATTGGCAAGAGAATCCTAAAACCCATGGTGTTTACTTAGCCATTCGGCATCTTCAGAAATGGGAAAGGCAGGAAGTTGGCAGCATAACATGAATAGTTAAGGTGGAGAATTGGCATCTTTCAACGATCAGCCTAAAGTTGTGGCTGGGTGGTATACTCCTAACTTCCAAGTTAGGATGGTAAGGCCGGTAGGAAGTCTAGGCGGGTCATGGGGAACCTGCTGAGCCTCTGAAGGATTCTGTCTCCAGCACAGCCCTGACACGCTGCCCCTACCACCTGCCTGGAGCCTAGCAAGGGCAACTTCTCCCAGGACCACATGTACCTCCTACATCCTTGTCCAGATGAGAAGATTACAAAACTATCATGGGGCCCTTTGTCCCTTGGAATAATTTGTCTTTTGCTGTGTGAAGGCAATTAAAGCACATCTTGTGAAAGTCAACCAAGAGACTGAAAGTGAAACTAGATGTCTCTGTGTCTTGATATAATCCACAGCAGGACAAACTCTGCCCAGGTCGCTACCATGAGTTTTGATTCCTGCCTCTACATCCCTGTTGGATCACTGTCAAAAGCTACCTCCACATCCTGATAGAGCCAGCAAAAGATTCCCAGGATATTTTAAGCTCTATGAGGGCAGGAAGCATGCCTTATCTGTTCTTCTATGCTCCCCACACTCCCTGCTCAGAAAACACTCATTGAATGAATTGAACCGAACCCAACAATAACGCTCACCTCGTGTTTGGCTCCGTCCTCTGGTTGCAGAAGATGCTGAGAAACAAAGAAATGCGATCTTAGGCTTGTATAAGACGTGGCATGCCGAATATTTTTGACATGGAGGTAGATATATTTGGGAAGAGGTTATTTTCATAGCGTGTCTAATCTACATAGGGACTTTTCTGTATATGAAATGCTTTAGAAATGATAACCACTTAGCTAAAGGGCGGCGGAGAAGGTTTTGCAATGCTCCCATGCATTCAGGATGTTAAATTAGCTAAATGAACGTTAAGTTAGCTAACACTCAGAGTGTCAAGTTAGCTAAGATAATCTATTTGGGAACACGATCCATTTGGACTGGCTGACTACACTGAACAAATGTATCAAGAGGCTCCCAAATCTCCCCTTTAATTTTTTATTAGAGACTGCTTTGGTTTTCCCCCTGTAAGCAAATAAATCAAATTATAATCACTGTACAATCAGTGGTCACGTCATCAATTCGTATGCACAGGAAGATTCCAAGAACATGGACCAGAGACTTAAGGCCAAGTGAAGATGCAGCCTAGGGGTGCACTAGGCACACACGGTGCCCCTTGGCGGCGCGCGGCAGTGGAGGTGCTGGGACGGTTGGCATTTGTGAGTTCTACCCGCGGCTCCTCCTGCTGGGAGGTCTCTGTGCATCTCGTGGAAGGAAGAATCCCTACAATTATTATTGCTTGGCCTTAGGAGCTTATCTGTCCAAGCCTGAACCTTGTATAAATAGCTTGCCGTTGCATGCAGTAGTGCCACGAGCAAGCGCTTACGACAGCAAGTAAATGTGGCTGACAGTCCCCTGAAGATGGCTCAGGATAAAAAGCAAGAGGAAAACAGGTCAGCAGAGGGCTAACTCCTTTAGAAGAATCCATTTAATTCAAGATGTCCCTGACTCCCACCACCTTGTCTACCTCAGGCATTTCCCTAGTGCCACGATGGGTTTTTTAGAAAATAAGGAGAAGACGTACCAAATTCCTTCCGAGGGTACTCCGGAGAAGAGTTGCCACTGGAGCTCCCTGGAGAGGGGATAAGACACTTAGGACGAACGATCACTTAGGCCCGAAAGGCTTCCAAGAGACAGGGGAGTGCCCGGCCACTCCTCTCTGCCCCTCTACAGCCCTCAGCAGACATTTCAGATGAACCTGGCGGTACCTTTCACCCCCTGCTCTGCTCCTCCGTTGTTAGCAACTTGGTCCCAGGCAAAATTTCCCTTCTCTGGACTACTGAGGATTTCTTTTTAACTTGTCACTCTTGTTTAGTTCTTTCTCACCAATTGTCCCTGCATGTGGCTTCCAGAGTTCTAGTCCTGGACATCAAATATGATTGTTGTGCTCAAAAATCTCTGTGGCTTCCCATTATATGCAGAATAAAGTCTAAACATCTTATCTTAGCATTGCATCTGAGTCCCTCAATCTCTCTTCACAGAAGCACCCCTGCACTTCCCACGTTAGCCCTGGACTCTCTGGCCTGTCCTTGCTCACACTGCAGCTGCCACAGCCTGGATGTTCCTGTCCCTCCATCTCTGGCCATCAAAATCTTACACTCATGAAGGCCCAGCTTTGATGCCACCTCCTCCAGAGAGTCTTCCCTGATTTCCTCGGCTGAACATGATACTCCCCTTTTACTTTGCATGATAGTTTTTTTATCTGTCATCTTGTCTATTAGACTCTAGGCTCCTTGAAGACGAGACCCCTGTCTGATTCATTTAAGCGGCCATCCAGGCGTTCTGCACGGTGCTAACACATGGCAGGCATTTGCTAAAGTACTAGTTGAAAAAGTGACTAAATGGATGAATGAATGAATGAGGGGGTGGATGAATGAATGAGATCTTCAAGTAATGGGAGTCCCTAAAAGAAATGAAGGAGGAGTGGGGGGAAAGTTGTGGGGACAGACACGGGCAAGCAGGTGGCCAGTACATGAATCTTCAAAGGATGAGTGGAGTTACTCAGGGAGGAGAATAGTTCTCTTCTACAGCGGCAGGGCTGATACCTTCATACGTCCCATGGCGGGTGACGTGAGTCTTCCTCTCGAAGGTGGAGCCGGGGGAGTTGGGCAGCGTGGAGGCGGGAGAGTGAGCGCGCCGGTAGCTGGAGGTGGACGCGTTGCCGCGCACGCTGCCACCTGCAAGCGGGGAAGCGCGTACATGCTCGGTGCTTCCGCAGGGATGAGCACACGGCTGCAGAGACCAGTTACAATAACCAACTCACGACGGACGCAGGGGCCGGGGAGGGGCCCGGGACGCCGAGAGAGCACCACCAAGGGGGCCGTCTCAGCATTCCCAAGGGAGGGGAGACTTACCCCCCCCCCCCGCCTTTCCTGCGGGCCACTGCAAGGCCGGCGTGTCCCTCACGCACGTGACTACAGCGCATGGACACTAAAGGACTGCGGGGACTTTTCCTGAGGCCCCGCCGTGTAGTCGCGGCCCACTGCCTGGATGGGCTAGACTACAGGCCGACGTGGAAACCTTCCTCCGCAGGTAAGGGCAGGTGCTTCTCTTGGCCAACCTGGCCCTTCTTATGTCTCGGGTCTTAGTTTTTAGTTTCACTTCAAGGTTTTTTTAAATGAGGTTTAAAGGTTTTCTCAGGGGTTACACAGGTACTTTGGTGTTTTTTGTTTTGTTTTGTTTTGTTTTCTTTGCTTTGCTCTGTTTTAGTTTGAAAGAGTGGTTCATTGGGAACAATGGGCTCGTGCTGGACACGGCCAGCAGAGTCTTGCACAGTGCAGGATCACATGTCACCAGCGTCCCCTGGCACGGTAACCCGACCGTTAGGTTTCTTTTGTTGTTGTTGTTAATTTAAATTGTAAACTCTCAGGCGTGCACACTCTTCTCCGAAGAGATGGCTTAAAGAGAGTGATTCACTGGGGAAACAGCCACCTACCCGTGAAGGCTTTTTAATTAATGATAGTTATTTATATTGAGGACTTAATGAAAACTGATCCCACGGTGGTAAGTAGATGCTGATGATTTGAAAGTCGTGCCATCCCTGGGTGTGTGTCATTTGGACAACTCTCTGGGTGACAAGCAGTTGGAATTGTCCCTGTCATGTGCTGATTCAGGGTCGAGCCTGCCCTGTCTCCTTTGCAGGACTTCCTCAGTGGCTCTCCCTGTCCACCTGCCCTTCCCCCGACCCTCAACCCTCGCGCCGGTGGGCACTCACTCGAGTTGATGTAGCCACTGCTGCCATGAGTCAGGCTTTGTTTCTCCATCCGGCTCCCTCCGCCAAGGGAGCCGGTTTTAGCATAGCCATTGCTGGTCCCCCCTTCTGCCAGAGACAAAAGCAGGTGACAATTTCAGGGAAGGTCCTCTTCCCCTACCCTGTGGAAACCTTTGCTGGTTTCTCACAAGGACCTTCTCAGTTTGGGTCCCTTTCCCACCCACACTGCAAGGTGCAAGCTGCCACGCCCCAGTTTTATTGGTTTGTTTTTGATACAAATGTCTGGAGTGAATATTCTGCCTGATTTAAAAGGAAGGTCGTCTGGGTGGAGCATAGAAAGTTGTTTGCTAGGAAAATTTAAACATTAGATAGAAAAGGCAGCTGAGTGATGAAAGGCCCTGAATCCAGGACCTGGTTGGGTCTGCTTTTTTCTCAATGCCTGGTCAGTGCCCAGACATGGCAGCCACCAGAAGTGCCAGGGGGAGGCGTGACAGCTCTGTGTCGCTGGTGTCCCACCTGGCAGCCCATCCCTCCTCTGACCTTGCTCTCCCCATCCCAGAGAGCCAGGCTTCCTGGGGATGTGGGGTAGCCGTGGGGTAGCTCAGATCACTCTTACAGAATCCACTGAACCTAAGGGGCTCCTGGAAAAAAGTGGCCTCAACCATAAGCTTGTCTGGAAGTTCCCCTCCACCACTCTATGCTCAGGTTGGGTAAGACTTCTGACATTTTCGTGTCCAGAATGGGCAAATCTATAGAGACAGAAACTATATCTGTGGTTTCCAGGAGCTGAGCAGAGGGGAGGGAAAATGAAGAGTGACTGCTAACGGTCATGAGGTTTCTTTTTAGGGAGTGATGGAGCTGTTCTAAAATTAGACCACAGCAATGGCTGCATGACTCTGTGAATATTCTAACAACCACTGAACTATACACTTCAAACCGATGGATTTTGTTGTACGTAAATTAATGTCAATATCGCTATTTGAAAAAAAAGATGTTTTTGGAGCTCCCATGGAAAAGGTTGAAAGTGTGGGGTCCTTCCCATGTGAGCCGCTGAGAAGAAAGCTATTGAGACAGCCACTTACTTGGTGGTAAGGACGTAAGTCTTGTAGTTACTGTTTCAGTGATAACTAGAAAAAGACAAAGAAAAAAATGAGATCTTATGTAATGCATTGACACCTCTGTATTTTGGCAAAGTCTAACATCTGCCATAAGCTAAGCATATTAAATTAGTTTCAACATCGATTTTTGTGTTCTTGTGTTTTAAAATATATGATCTGACCCACTCACTGTACATGAAAATATGAGCAAAAACAATGGGGTTGAATGTACCTGGGAAATAAGTTTATATCCCTATGGAACCGGAAGAAATTACCCACTGACTTGAAACATGAGTAGTCTTGGCCTCACTGTGACTCTGTTTCTCTGCCCTGCTCCTTCCCAGTGGTCTCCCAGTCCAGCTGGGACCAGCACTCTGGCTGACCTCACTGTGTCCTTTGTTAATTTGGAGGTGTTTCAAGGACATCATGATTTATTCTAAAATCTTCAGGGCCAGCCTGAGTGTGGGAAGTGTGGGAAGGAAGTTGGGGGGCGTCTGGGTAAGATCCATTTGGTGCTTGGTGAAATCAGAGACCGATCAACGTCAAAGACAGCCTTGAAGAACTGAGTGACAGTGACTCTATCGGGGTAATTAAAGCTTCAGGTGTTTTAAAAGACACCAGGTAGGAGAAAGACATCTTGCGTGCCTAAGCACGGGGACGTGGGTAGATTCCCAAAATCACAGCGTGGCCCACTTTGTGCTCTGACCTTGGCCACCACCTCCACCTCCCTCTCTGGTGGGCTTACCTACCTAGGAGGAGCACCTACCTAGCTGGGGTCACCGGTCTTTAAAAGCAGACTTGCTGTGTGTGCGGGCGTGTGGTTGCCCTAGCAGGAACATGGGGCTATGAATGCACCAGAAACAGCATTCAATCCATAAAAGGAAATGTTTTTTCAGAGTAAAGTGGCAGCTTGATTTGAATAATAGTTCTTGAGCTTTCCACTAAACCTCTCATTGTATAGACCTTTGGGATTTTCTTTTTGACACATAAAAATAATTTACTTCCTAACCTAAAGTTCCAAGTCTGTGGAGCCAGAATGTTTTTATTGGAGATATATGAAAGTCATAGACTAAGTGAAAAAGTTCCCTAACTTAGAGTTGCTAGGGGGACAGTTTAAATGTTTCGGAATTTATCATTTGGACAGTTTCACAAAATAAATGTGTGTTTTCAATTTTCAGTGTAGATTTTGACTATGCTGTTAGTGTCATTTCAACTGTGTCTTTGCAATAACTGGGATATTATACTGTATTATACTGTAGATTTCTATTGCCCTGTAACCTAAATAGGGAAATGGTTAAATAAATTATGGTGAATTCATTCAGCAGAATGTTATGCTGTGATTAAAAATGCTGGTTACGAAAACTATACATGAAAATGGCAACTTTAATCTCTGAAGAAAAACCAGGACACATTTTGGTTATAAGTATGTTAAAATAAAAATCAACAAGAGCCATCTTATGGGAAGCATAAAACCCATTTAGGAACACATTTTAAAATGATATAGTGTTTGTGGTGGAATTATGGATAAATTATTTGTTTCCAAATTTGTATTACTTTTATGATGAAACAATTATAAATTAAAAAAATTCCAATGCTCTTACTTCTTTCAGTGACTTCAGTGCCATCTCGTTTGTTTTTCTTGGTTCCATCCATACCATAGCCACCTGCAGGAAAAGCCAGAAACAGTGAACAGCCATGTCCCTTACCATTGCTTTTAGTAAGTATAGGTCCCCACTGTGCAACCTGAGAACCCAGAACTTGATTTCTCGAATTCAAAGCATAATCCTTTCATATGCATTTTTTTTTTTTTTTACCAGAGTCATTCCCATTTCTTGTCGTCAAATATAGTAGAGAGTAATGTAATAGTTCTACTTTGGATTCTATTCCTTTGTGCTGGGATCTTATTTTTTGGAATCTAATTGCGCAGACTGCCCCCTGCTGGGCTTGTGCAGCAGATGGGCTGCCTTGACCTTTGACTGTAAAACCTTTCTTTGCCCTGGTAATAAATAGCTGAAGGAATCTGTCAAGGCTCTCTGTGCTATCGACTAATTCATTTTGATGTATCCCATAATGTTCAGTGTTCTATATGGAACTCTATGCACACGAGACATTCATGCTTTATTATTTAGAGTCTGGATCTGAAAATGGCCCTTGATGGATTTAAATCAGAATAAAAATAATTATACTTGTCATATTTACATGCAACTTTCTTTCCATAATAACCAGCTCTCGTGTGCAGACGTAAGTAGGAAAAATAGATGAAGAGAATCTGTGCAAGATCTATAGAGCCATGTAGGAGCATACATATTTGTAAGTGTTTTCTATGGTCTCCCTTCACTCTTACTCTGCTCCTGAAGAGGAAATTCAGTGCAGTCTTGTGCGCTGTGTCCCTAAGCATGGGTGGTGTGAGGCAGGGCTGACGTCAGGGGTGGGGTTGTGCACAGCAAGGATCCCACCCCCACTGGGCTCTTCTTGCTCCAGTGCCTGGTCCCAGGTTCCGGAAGGACTTGAAATCTGGCTTTGCCTGTGGTTCCCTGCCCTGTCCTCACTGTCTGTTCCTCCTAGTTTGTCTTTTGGTTGCAGTTCAGGCTGGATTCTGGAATTCTGAGACACACCACTTCTGCCAGGTGCCCCTGGCTTGCAGATCTCTCCTTCCAGCGTCACCTGTGACTTCAGGGTTGACTTATCCACTAGGCATAGTGGGTCCGGTGCCTAGACCCACGGCACCTTTTGGGGTCTATAGAACATTTTAATTTCTTTTAAAATCAGAAGGAAAAACAAACAAGATCTAACCTAGATTACACACTTTTTTATACCAATGCAGTTGTAAAGTATCATTCCAAAAAGTTTTTTTGTGGAGGAAGGGGCCAGCCAAGGCAAAAGTGTCTAGGGCTCACGAAAGTCATAATGTGGCTCTGGGTGACTTCCCTGCTGAAAACTATTATTACGTGAGACCTGTTGATCAACTACCTGGTGGAATTAACCTGGACGGTGCAGTTAGCTTCAGGGCCTGGTCAAATGTGCCAACTTCTTGCTCATCGGTGTTTCTTAAATGCAGCTCTGGGCAAGGAGTGAGGCATCGTGGAAAGAATCCTAGCTGGATCTGAGAAGCCACAGGATATCTTTATAAATGTGTTTCCTGGAACCCAGAGGAGGGCTCCGTAAACGGTGTAGCCGGGGAGTCCAGCCGCATCAGAAGGCCAAGCCTGGCCTGTGACTATGTCTGCATTCCAGCTACGACTTGCGTGGCTTGTATCTTGCAAAGCCAGTGCAGCTGACACTCTCTTTGAAATCCTGTGTCTAAGCATTAATTGCCTTTGGTTCCTTGGAAGCCCCTTTATACTTTGTTTTTTTAGTTGATCATTAGCTGTGGGGCAGGAGGCATTTGGGAAGATGAAACATTTAAATGCACCTCGATGCCCGTAGGGAGGTGACTATCTCGAATGGCACCTGAATTGATATAAAATATTATCCTGTAAGGATCTGTTTATAGCAGTCCATGGAAACTTACTTCCCACAAGTTATTGCTTATTTTGATCCTTCAGTGAGAGTTGCTGCCAGCAGCTATACGTTTGGGATTGGCTGTAGCACTTGTACCATCTAGGCAGACAGATGATGGCTTGGTTTGCTCAGTTCAGTCTCCAGGCAGCAAACCTGGCAAGTTTTGTCTATTCTTTCTGTATCCAGGAAAATAAGAGGCATTTCTAGGCCCCTGATATTTCCCCTAAATCCTAATAACAAAATCTTGATTTCTGTAGCAAAAATCCAAGGGTTCCCCAACTTCCAGAGGACATGAAGCGATGGCCTGCTAAGAAATCAGATGCTTCCTTCAGGGGCTGGAAGCTCCTTATTGGTTTTGAACTCTTTTTTTAAAATTTTTTGAGACAGAGTGTTGCTTTGTTGCCCAGGCTAGAGTGAGTGCCGTGGCGTCAGCCTAGCTCACAGCAACCTCAAACTCCTGGGCTCAAGCAATCCTGCTGCCTTAGTCTCGTGAGTAGCTGGGACTACAGGCATGTGCCACCATGCCCGGCTAGTTTTTTTTCTATATATATTAGTTGGCTAATTAATTTCTTTCTATTTATAGTAGAGACGGGGTCTCAATCTTGCTCAGGCTGGTTTCGAACTCCTGACTTGGAGCAATCTGCCTGCCTCAGCCTCCCAGAGTGCTAGGATTACAGGCGTGAGCCACTGCGCCTGGCCTGGAAGCTCCTTATTGGAAGGTGCCCTGTGCCTAGAACCTGCTCCAGGTAGGTACAGGTAGATGCCTCTGTCTCAGCCTGAAGCCACTCAAATGGCCATGTGTCCCACGGCTATGCGAATTCTCTGCCAGGCTGACGGTCCGACTGAGGTGTCAGGGGTGTGTTGGGAGATGGATTCCTTTAAACCAAATGAGTTATTAAATGGAGAATGATGGGTTCAGGCACAAACCTAGACTAGCATCATCCCATGAGACCTGTGGCATGCTCACCGGACTTCTTTTTTAAACATTTTAAGTGCTGATAGTTTTTAAAAGTGTAGCATTAGGGAAAGGAGAGTTTCCTGCCCAGGTACGTGCCCGAGCCTGCCTCTGCTAGCAGGACTCACCAGCCCACTCGTCTTCCAGAAGTACTACTTAGTGGAAGCACTGTCAAAGAGCATAATTCCTAACTTTTTGGACATTTGGGCCACTTTACTAGAGCTAAGGATGAGCAGATCATCCACGTTCTCAATTCCAAAATTATACACATTTCCATCCATAAATCTACAGGGCTGCTTCATGGTTATTTCGTAGCTAATACTCTTTTGAAGATGTAAAAATGATCCCATGTCATTTTCTCGTGTAAGAAGACACAATATAAAATCATTTCTTTACTTTTATGATTTTTTTCCCTTTCTGCTTTATTTAAATGATGTCAGATCCGCCTGAGACTCTTCAGATGACGATGCAGTCTAACACACACACAAACAAGGACGAGTCACTGTTGGTGATAATAAATCATCACATTGACCTTGCCTTATTCTAATGACACATGAAACACTCTGTTCTTGATACAACGAAGAGAATGAAGAAGCTAAGTGTTTTTCTCTCTAACTTTAGTTTTAGGAACATTCTTATACTCTGTTAAGGAATTGCAATATTTTTACAGCTTCTATTACTCCAATCTCTGTATACTTTACATTTTAAAACGAAAACAAAATTGCCAAAGCACGAGAAAGCCATGCACTGGCTCTTGACCTGATAACACAAAAGGGCCAAGGACACAGTTTGATGGCCAGAAAAAACAGTGCCCTGGGGTTATAACTGTCCAGAGGTTTTGTCTCTCCAGCACCCCAGACATGGGTTTGCTGCTCTCAATATTTGGCAGCCTCGATTTTCATGAATGGGAGCAGGTGGGCACCAGCTTTGTGATTATGCGGGGGCTTCTTTACCACTGTGTCCTGCTACTGTTAATAACGGCAGATGAAACAAATGAGGTAAACACAGCCTTCTTTCGGTCAGTCATCGTTTAAGAATGTGCTTAGTTCCTAGGTCTGATCAGGTTCACCAGTGTAAGGGGTTTCTGTGCAGGTTTGAAACAGGACTGTTCCCTTTGACTGGCCCCCAGTAAACGCTACTCAGGTTCACGCGGGCGTTTTGCGGGGTCTAAGAGCAAAGCAGGCCCCCTCTGATTCTCTGCAAGGCATCGTCAGGGCCAGGCAGCTGTTTTAGGTTAGTTCTGACTTAGATCTCTTCCTTGGCACTAAGAGAGAACGTACAGAGGCGAGAAGAAACAATTCTGCTTTTCAAACGAATACCTTTGAAAAAATCTCACTCCATTTTAAGGACATAACAAATCCCACTATTAGACAACTGATCAGCTGCCTCTCAGAAGAAGTAATTTGCCAGAGGTTTTGCCTTCACTTCAAAAAGTAAAGTGATAATTTGTCGGTTAGCAGTTAACGTGGTCCGGTTAGATACCTAAACTGGTCATTCTCACCTCAAAGTCATTTTTTTGGGGGAGATGGGGCCATAGTTGGCCAGTAAGAGTATGTACCCAGAAAAAAAAAATTCCTTTATTTTTTGTCTTCTTCCAAGTTTGACTCTAGGAAATTCCTGGTAGAGCATTTCAAAGATTTCACTTTAGATTAGGGGCAGGAGCAATTTTACAGCATGATAAATAGCAATGTTTGCCTGGGCCCCCAGTTTAAGCAGAGAGGCCCAGCAGCACAGGGGCTTCTTCTAGAAGGACCCCTCACCCTACATTTGACTTCACCTCTGAGCTGTTCTATTCTGTCTGGTGGGGAGAGAGAGAGGGAGGGAAAATTGAGGGGGAGAGAGAAGGAATTATAAGCCCTTATCATATTCTAAATAAAACAACTTAATAAAAGTCATTTTACAATACTGAAAATATACAGAAAAATCTTGCCACTAGAGTTCTGTGTATCTTAACTGGTCTTCTCCTCCTTCTCATCCATGGACCTTCCTTGTTTCCTTTAAAAGACCTACCCTAAGCAGAAAGCATCTACCAAAGTCACCGTTTATGGCCAATTAATCACTTCAACCAGAACACAGAAACTAAAGAACTTCATCTTCTTTTCTCCAATACACATTTAATTTCTAAATGGCAAACCTTAAATCAAAGTCTCAGAAGGAAGGAGAAAGGTCAGTCTTCTTATTACTTACCTGGCTTGGGATTTTGAAGGAAACAACTTTCAATAAATCCCCCGTCTCTCTTTCCCTGACGCCTTCTTCTAGAAATCGCAGTGCCCACTTTTTTTATCCAGACCCAGCCAAGGTGTGTTAAAGCTGAGTGATCTTTCAAAAATGTTCACTTCTTCTCTCCACCTTGTTTCTTTCAGCTCTGTGCTTCCAAACAAGTCCTGACAAAGGTGTGTCGTGGTTTACAGCCTTACCCCACCCTTCCAATTATCTGACACTTGCTGGATTTAAAAAAAAAAAAATCTGCCTCCAGGAATCAAACTTTACAAGAAGGTGGAAAGCTGCTCCTTCTAGCTTAGGTAAATTAACCACTTGCAGACCCACAGCAAAGAGAAGAAAGGGCCAGCATAAAGGAAAGTCCCTTGTATTACTGCTGTCACCTACAGCTGGAGACCTGCCAGGACTTGGTGTTCCCCTTCCTCGGTGCCACAGGATCCCGGAATCTCAGTTTGCATGACTCACGGGGCACACACGTGAGGGCCTGTGGTCAGAGTGCCTGAGCCCTAGAAAACCTGTGATGTTGGCAGGACATATATATATTCGAGACCTGAGACCTGTTTTCCCTGGATATGCCTCTGTCTTTTTCCCCCTTTCTGACTCAAGCCAGGTCAAGTCCATCTGGAGAAAATAGTTGGTTAATTAATTCATAATGAGTTGTCAGTGACTGAAACTGCTGAGCAATTGGTGGAGTAGGGGTACATTTTTTAAAAAGAGGTAACTAGATACAGTGATGCCGACCTAAAAGAGTTAATGATGGGACATGTTAGTGATGGGATTTTAGGCATTTTCCCACCTAATAATGGACGCTGCTGGGGAAGGGTAAGGACCTTTTTGTCCTTCAAAGCAGGCGACCACATAAGTCACCATGCACCCAAGGACATGCATGGGCTCCCAGATGCCCTGTAACTCCAAGTACATCCCAGGAGGACTTTAGGTTTTCCTAGAGGGTCAATTTGCACCAATTTAGATAGCTTTCATGAATACCTGGGCAGCGTCTGGTTTTCCAGGACCCCCAAAGACTAGCTTCAGACTCTTGGTTTTGGTAAAATGGGAGTCTGAACCTGGAACTGGTACAAGTGCTCCTTTGGGGCCATAGCACATTTGGGGACCCTTTCCCAGGTCTGCAATATCATTCTCAGATCCTGGAAGGTGCTGTGGGGTCCTACAGCTCAGCGCTAATGCATGTCTGTACCCCATGGTGGGCACTCACACCCATGGAGGGATACCAGACCACTTAGAACCATCTGCGGGGCTCTTGCTCCTAAACTGCTCGTATTCTGTGCCGGAATAGCGTGTTTCAGAACCCTTTCAATGAGCTAGCATTTGACACTTGCTTTCTGGGATGTTCTTGCCACAAATAAATACTTACTCAACATGCCTGTGGTCAATGTCATAGGAGAAGAACAATTAAGAACCCAGAAGACACAGAGCTTTCAGCATAAAATTGACATATCCCTGCCTCATTCATTCATTTATTCATGATTTAAACAGAACTATATCGGGTCCTATTTGGAGCCAGACGTTGAACTATGTGCTGAGAGCTCAGTGGTGAAATGTGGACATATTCCCTGTCCTTACAGAGTTCACAGCCCAGTGGAGGAAGACAGGCCTTAAACAGTGTATTAATTGGCTAGGGCTGCCATAGCAAAATACCACAGACTGGGTGGCTTAAACAACAGAAATTTATTATCTCACAGGTCTGGAGGCTGGAAGTCCAAGATCAAACTATCAACAGGTTTGATTTCTCCTGAGGCCCCTCTCCTTGGCTTGAAGATGCCACTTCCTTGCTGTCCTGGGTCCTCATATGACCTTTCTTTGTACACGCACATCCGTGGTGTCTCTCTCTCTGTGTGACCTAATCTCCTCTTCTTATAAGGACACCAGTCAGATTGGATCAGGGCCCACCTTAAAGGCCTCGTTTTAACTTAATTACTTCTTTGAAGGCCCTATCTCCAAATACAGTCACCTTCTGAAGTACTGGCCATTAGAGCTTCACGTGTAAATTTTGGAGGGACACAGTTCAGTCCATAACAGACAGTTATGTGCAAATATATAATTAAGAACGCAATAACTATTATAAAGAACGAGTATTAGATTCCATGAGTGAGCGTAAGAGGAGACATAGTCTTGGGAAGGCTGCTAGGGAAAGTCCTGCTAAGAAAGTGACATGGAAGCTAACAGATGAAGGTTGAATGGAGATCACACAGGAAAAGTCAAGAATGTTCTGGGAAAGAGTCTTCAGAAGGCCGTGAGGTGGGAGGAGCACGGTGAGTTGGAAGAACGGAGACAAGGCCAATGTGTCGAGGGCATCATTGAGGGAGGCTGGGGAGGGGGCAGGACCAGAGCACACAGGCCTCGGAGGCCATGGAGGGCTGGCTGTACTGCACACAACCCGGCAAATGCCCTTAAATCCACATTCAGGAGCAACTCTTTACAGGTGCCGTACGAGTGTTTGGATTATTAATCCTAGGAAAGAAGAGAGACTGCAATCGATGCTTTCTAAGGTCTATTATGCACCAGATATCTTACATCCATTATCTCACACAATCCCCAAGGCACCTGTAAGGCCTGTGGATCATTATTATCTTCAGTTTATAGCTGAGAAAAGTGATGTTCAAGAGGCTGAGTAAACAGGCCAAAGGTCGTAAATCTCATAAGCTGCAGAGTCCATATTCCATGTGACGCTTGAACCTTAGTTTCCCACTGCCTTGTGTGCTATGAAAATGAAAAGTATGCCCAAAGCATTGAAATGAAAGAAGATAGGCAATATCGAAACAGATCAGGCTGAGGGCAAGTGACAACTTAAATATAAACCAAAACCATCTGAGTAGTGCGGATGTTTTCAGTCGACAGCACTATGGTGTTGGAATAACTTGTTGATGATTTTAAATAGAAATCTGTCTAGGGGACTCGGCAACCAGAGACCAATAAATTATTCAGCTCTAACTTTATATATAAAACCAAACATGCCAAGCAGCCATCAGAATCCTCCCTTTGGCTTTCTACAATCAGATTGGTATTCTCCAGGTACAGTGGAGATCGCAGACCCGTTATAGATAATCCCCAAAGTTACTTGATCAAGAATCCACTAAGCTAACTGAATAGCTAGTAAGCCTGTGTGCGTGTGTGTGCGCATATTCCAGCACATTCACATGTGGACGTGTGAGTACTGTTTGCAGAATCCTATACTTTAGGGGAGAAGAAAATTAAAAGAATTCAAGTACTCAGCTTCTAGTTACTCAAGATTCATAGTTTATTGTCCTTGGCAAAACTATGAATAAGACTTAATTGGTACTTACATTGGTACATGGAGTGGAAGAAACCTTATATTCGTTCAACATTCATGTTTTAAGTTCCTACCATATACCTGGTACTAAGGGAGTTGTCTTTTAAATGTTTTAAGTTAACCGGAAAACAACAAAATTCTTGCCAAAACGAAGCAGAGTCAGCTTTAGGAAATAGAAGTGACTAAGACACCGGAAAGGTGTTTCTTGCTTCCTCACTGCATTTGGGGCTATGTTAATGAGTCACATTAATCAGTTTTTGATTGACTAGAAATAAAAGTTCCTTAAAAGGCAACTGGAAAAATAGTCATACTTCCAAAATTATCCACTGACTCTTCAAGGGGGTTGGGGGAAAGGATGTCTGTTCACATGTGGCTCAGATTGGCACCAAGTGACCGGACGCACCATCGTTCTTGAGCCATGTGAGGACAGGTGGCTTCTGCTTTATGTGGCTGGTGCGTTTCTGAAAAGTGATTTGTAAATCTAGTTTTTGGTGGCCAGGGTGAGTGCTTTTGTCAGTGTTGGTTCACTACCTCATTCATCTTTGTCAATGCAAATTTTCTTTCTGTGTTTGGTTTAAAGGGGTATAAACCCTGTGGGTAGATTTCTACCTATTCTGTGACTCTCATTAAACAGCATCACATGGCAGTGCTACGATGTGCTTATTACGTTTTCAATCAGGGACTCTAAAGCTTTGGGATGCATTTGCCCTCCATTCCTAACAGACAATGAGAAGCCAAGTTCCCTGAGAAGGAGGTGAGAAAAAGTAATTTTATATTTAGTGAGATAATTCCAGTATCTACAATTGTTGATTCAGCTCTTTTGTTGGACAGTAAATCCACTGACTTTTCAAAAACCAATTCCTACATATTAAAATAAAAATAATACAATAATTATTTGTTACAGTTTGCTACTACTGTTCTAAGACTAGAAGGCCATATTTCTGCATGTGCTTCTGGATAATAAGGCTTCCCTGTAAACACTTACGGCAACAGCATATGTCACTGTTCATGTAGCAGGTTGGTTTTTGGAAGGATGCAGCTGAGAGTATATCAATTCCTGCCCTCCACCTGCAGGCTTCAGGTCTCCACCTGTTCTTCCTGTCTATAATGCTTCTTGAGTTGTCCCCAGTTGTGTTCCTTGCTGCCTTTATTATAATGACAAAGCACCCGGTTTCCTTTCTTCCATTCCCAACTTCAGATCTATTCATTCATTTATCCATTCAAAACCCATACGTATTTGCTGAGTGAGCAAACCACTACCTATTGAGTGTCCACCGTGAGCATTCAGTGTATAGATACAATTGAGGGTGAGATGTAAAACCTGCCGTCAAGGAATTTACAATGTGAAAAAAAGATGTATGGATATATTCATCACTTATACAAACAATGACAACATAGGGAGAATGTCAACCATCAGAGAGTTAAGAACTATGGAAATCCACTCCCAGCTGGAGGCATCAGCCAATGCCTCATGAAAGAGGTGCCATTTGAGCCTTAAAGGACGGGCTGGCAGTAAGGAGCGGAGAGTGGAGGTGGCATTTCAAGTCCAGTGTGAGAGGCACAGACACAGGAAGGAGCGAGGCTCGGGTGAAGATGGTGGGACAGGTGCGAGGAAGGAGAGAAGATGGGCGAGGTCGGAAGACCAGGCTGTGCCAGTGTGGTCGTGGGGAGTCTGAAGTGCCCGTCTGAGGAGTGTCCACGTCATCCTGAGGTTGAGGGGGAGTCACCAGACATTTGGCTTCATTGAACAAGAATTATTTTGGTGACGATGTAGACAATGGAGCAGAACAGAAAGAGACGAGATAGACTGATGAGGACACTCTAGCGATAGCTTGGAGAAGAGCATGAACTTTAGCAAGGCAAAGAAGAGAAAAGAGAAGGAACTGAACGGGATAAGATCGGTGAGACTGGACAGAGACGATGACACTCATTTAGTGGTTGCTGTTAGGATGAGAGAGACTGCAGGCTAGGAGCTAGGACGATGCTGAGACTTTTCCAGGCCGTC